GCAAGTCTGGGCTTGTAATATCTCCACTAGTCCCCATTAGGAGAATTCCATACACCATTGTACCCCTCTAGAATCTGGGAAATGTTCAAGTCTCCTTTGAGCTGCGTCTGCATGGCAGCGTAAGCCCAGCAAATCTTATCTGCACTATTCCAATCTACTCCTTCCAAACAAACCCCCGTGACCGCGGGGCAGTCCCTCCATAATCTCCAAGCGCCCCGTAGATCCCGGCCTTTTTTTCTCCCCACAACAACCGTATCTCCAATCTACCAGTACTCCATGTCTCCTTTACCGTCTTCCGTCACAGCGCTGTCTGCGCCGGGCAAGGTCCTCTTAACCGGTGGCTATCTCGTGCTAGACCGCGGTTACACGGGCACCGTATTTGCGCTCGATGCCCGCATCCATGTTATTGTCCAGCAGCTGAGGAGGGGTCACCGCCGCGGGGTGTCAGGATCTGGGTCTGCTCCTGGCGCCGAAGCGCCATCTAATTCGGGCGCTGAGGACCAGGATGGGGAGGACACCGTTGTTGTGCGTTCCCCGCAGTTTCTCGATGCGGTGTGGGAATATGGTGTGCAGCGATGCGGGAATGGTGGGGGTGTGAAGGTCATCCAGAAGGGAGATGGGTATGCTTAGCTGTCACCCTCTCTTTGCGCGAGATTCATTGACTAACATCACCTTGCTTCTCTTTAGACCGCGAAACCCCTTTGTCGAGACCTCTCTTAACTATGCATTGACTTATATCAGCTACGTTGCTGACTCCAAGGACTTCGGGTCCCTGTCTGTCACCATCATGGCTGATAGCGACTACTACTCGGAAACCGCTGCCTCCAGGCGTACGGCGTCGCGGGGACGTGGTGGGCGCTTTGTCAATTTCGGCGTTCCTCTTTTCGAAGCCCACAAGACAGGATTGGGCTCTTCAGCTGCTCTCGTTACTGCGCTTGTCTCCGCCTTGGTCATTCACCGCACCATGCAGCCGGAGGACCTAGGTGCTGGTCGGGATAAACTCCACAACCTCGCTCAAGCGGCCCACTGCGCAGCCCAGGGTAAGGTCGGATCTGGATTCGACGTTGCCAGCGCGGTCTACGGTTCGTGCCTCTACCGACGTTTCTCGCCGTCAATCCTGGAGTCCCTCGGCGATGTAGGCTCGGCTGGTTTCGAGGAGCGCCTGTTCCCTATCGTGGAGGACTCTGATCCCGAGCATCCATGGGACACCGAGTGTGTGGACTTTGGCATGCAGCTCCCCCGTGGGATGCAGCTGGTTCTGTGCGACGTGGACTGTGGTTCCCAGACGCCCTCTATGGTCAAGAAGGTTCTCGAATGGCGGAATAATAACCGCAAGGAAGCGGATATTCTCTGGGCTAGCCTCCAGAACAACAATGAGCGACTGCGCCAAGAGCTTAAGCGCCAGGCCCAACACCCCGATGCCAATCCTGAAGGCGACTTTTCTGATATCCGCACCCTTATTCAGCGAACACGCCAGCATATCCGCACATTGACCCGCCGGACGGGCGTCCCCATTGAACCCAGTGTACAGACCGAGCTGCTAGACAGTGTTTCAGAGATCGAAGGTGTCATTGGCGGTGTTGTCCCGGGGGCTGGAGGATACGATGCCATCGCGCTCCTGATCCGGGATGATCCCACTGTAATTGCGCGTCTGAGAGATCATCTTGCGAACTGGACGAGCACGATCGAGGATGACTTTGGAGGCAAGATCGGCAACGTACGACTGCTAGGCGTGCAGCACGGGTCCGAAGGTGCGAAAAACGAAATGTTGGAGCAGTATGCCGGTTGGGTCTAGGTTGCTCTGCGGTTTTTGAAACAAGGCAACCAGTATCCCCATGACTGATCAACAACGTGTTTCGGCTACCAGCTTAGCCTCTCTCCCCTATTGCATCCTGGGCCGGACCCTCCAGAAACATACACAGGCCTGTAGGATAATTAATTGCACGAATCACGGCTGAAAGATCGACTTTAACTCAGATCTCCCTATCTTTTACTTCCCCTACCCGCTCCACCAGTATCCACCTATCTGCATCTCTATCTTCAAACTTATTCCCCCTGCATATGCACCACGAGTCCCATGCTTGGCCGAGGGCTGCCCGTTCTTTTTTCCCGATGGCCTCCCTGTGTACGACCGCGGTCTGTTTGTCAGGTATTTCAATCGAGACGGGACAGCTCTCAAGGGAATGAGATGTGCAGGTAATATTCTTCAGCTTCACGATACCTAGTCTATGAGATAATGAATACAGAATACACTTACATTTTTCCATGACAGTGAGACAATTGAAACAGCGACAACTGCATGCTCCGTATGATACATATGTAGTCATGAGATCCCAATCGTCGTACAGAGAGTACAGAGAGTACAGAGCTACACATGTGGAGAAAGTGACCTGTCTTTTTCATGCAACTATCCAGACATGTCCAGATCTACATAGCATTAACGTACGGAGTAGCATACAAGATTATAATTATTCCCCCGGATCTTCAATTGATATTCTTGATTTTTATACGTTGTATATGACACTAAGCTATACTAAATTATTTAGCACGTTTCAATTTTTTCCCCTTTGACCCAAAAATAGGGGAAAGATTTTAGTCCCGAGACAGTTCAAACCAGGGTCACGAAGTCTGTTAGGCTTGCAGATCCCCTTTTGCCTTCTTTCTCCCTCTTCAACCTATTCGAATATTAAAATAAGATCATTTGGGGGGGTATATGTACAGCCATTCCCACACTACAACAGTTGTAGTTTGATTATCTTGCGCCTCCCGCTTAGTCTTGACTCCTCACATCTGCATCTCTCCCTCCATCTCCTCCCGTTCCAGCTCTCACGGAATACCTTTCCTTTCCAAACCCCTCCGTTGACAGTGCCCCTTTTCCCGACGGGGTTAAAGTCAATCATTATCTGCCATCGGGGCATCCTAAAATGTCTACAACCGATCAGCCGGAGTCGGGGGAAAACAGCAGAGATACCAACCCACCCCCGGTCACAACATCTCCGCAGGATCAACAGACCACAGCACCAACCACAGAGCTCCAACCCCAACCAGACCTCTCTGCTGATACGTCCATCCCATCCGTCCATGATCAAACACCCGCGAACCAGACCCAGGTCCACCCCGCAACTGGACCCAGTAGTGGCAAAAGCGAATCCGCCCCCGTGACAACGTCACCTACCACCAACCCTCCTCAAACTGTCGACAACACACTCGCTGTTGCGCTGGCACAACCCACTACACCGCCTTCAATGGAGACCGAAGAGCCAAAGACAGCGCCCGAGACCTCAACGGAGCACTCCGATGACGGTTCCGGGAAGGAAGTCGAGGAGGATGCTGGTCCGTCGCTGGCGATCACACTGCTATTGACAACGGGGTCGCGGCACCCATTTACGATCGATGGGAAATATCTAAGGAAGCGATCGGTTAATGTTGAGAATTTCGACCCGTTCTTGATGAGCGTCTACACGCTTAAGGAGTTAATCTGGCGCGAATGGAGATCTGGTAAGTGTTTCACCCCTGATCTAGTCCTCTATATGGGCATCGGATGGCCAGAACATATCTTGATGTGAGATGTCGTGGGATGAGAACGGGTAAGCTAACGATGTCGTCGCAGATTGGGAGACCCGTCCCTCGTCACCGAGCTCTATCCGTCTTATCTCGTTCGGGAAGTTGTTGGATGATAAGTCACCTATTTCTGGTATGTTTCTTTCTCATGATCGCATCGTTTCTATGGCTATAGACTCTGATACTAATAAACCGACCAGACTCCAAGTTCAGCAAGGAACATCCAAACGTCGTCCACATGACCGTTAAGCCGCAAGAAGTCGTCGACGAGGAAGACGCAAAGGGAGCCAAGGCACAGTACAGCCGGGAGGGCGAAGCCAATGAGCGCAGCCCTGGATGTCGATGCGTGATTCTATAACCTCGCTGCCCCGCCTGGGCAGTTACGGGTCTGAAGCGTGGGACAACCTGCTACCGACAATGCTGTTTGCTGCTTACATCCTTCCACCCCGATACCCGACCTTTCCATCCTTGCCCATATTCCGCCAACCTCTCCACCCTCTACCTGTCATTGCAGCGATTCGACTAATTCTGCCTGGATGCAGGATCAACATCCCTGTTTTGCCGAGCCAACATGGGCGCTCTGGAAGCGGCGTTTGGACTTTTTTTTTTCCTGACTGGACCTCCATCCTGGACCATGGGTTTCGACTTGCTTGTCTTATTTCTGTGCTTCGGCCATCCGCTTGTTCTATCATCGCCATATCGTCTGCATGCGGGCCTCATTCATCTATCCATGGATCTTTTCTATCGGAGTGCTTCGTGTTTCCTTTCCGACCTGTCTTCCGAGGGCTCGATTTGAGATTCTTCTTTGCTTTTCGCATTGCTGTCACCATTATTCTTACCCCGATTTCTCGATATATACCCCCTCCTATCCGACTATCCTTTGCTTTGTGCTCTATCGTGTGCCCCGTATGGTTCGTTTCCTCATGGACTTTCGTGTACTTACGACTTTGACCCCTCCTTTTCTTTCTCTCATTTCTTTCGCGTTTCATTCCTTTTGCTCGGTTTTCTAGCTGCTTATGGTGGTTAGTCGTAGTGTATAGGGTGTTTTGGAGAAGGTTGACAGGTTTCTTTGTCATATATTAAATAACTTCTAAGGTGCCTATATATTCCCGCAGTCTTGGTTGAATTGCTAGTCAGGCGTTCGAGGGACGATCAATTCGAGTCGCTTTACTCATACGGTAGAAACCTCTAATACCACGACTGGTGGTCCTACAAGACTGCTTGGTTGGTTGAAATAGACCATGGATTGATTCAATATACCGAGTGTACCGCACTGCCTTGATAACAGACAGACACACCGGAAAGCATCAAGTCCAGTGATCTATCATTCTATCTGACGACATAAGGTAGGAGTATGACGAGGGACGTAAGAGGAGAATAGTAGAACACATCGACATAGAAAAGCAGAGAAACAAAAGAACACCATATCATCAAAGCCATTAGAAATCCATCTTGAGTCTCTTCTCCATCTCATCATGGAAAGCAGGCGGCTCACGGAGGTCATCACCTAAATCAGAAACGATGTCAGCCAAAACCATCCAATCCCAAACCCCAAACCACCCCATACGCAACTTACCGTGGTAAATATCCTCCCACTGAACCTCACTATCCCGACCCCCAATAACAAGAATATCCTCATGAACATTCCCACCCCGCACACCGCCAAGCACAGCAGGCCGGAAAGTCCCATCCCGAACGATCTTCAACTCCATCCCGCGACGAACAGGCTCCGCAATCCCGTACGCTCGACGCAGTCCCTCCATCTTCATGGCGTCCTGTGTAGCCCGCCACGCGAGAAGTCGTGCCTCGAGTGGGTGCGTAGATGACGGGACCTCGCCGCTGGAGTTCGTCGACGACGCGTGCGCGGTGGCGGGCTGCGTGAGCTTGTTGCGGAGCGTGTCGGGGAGTCCGGGGCGGAAGGGGCGCCTTTGGATGGGCGGGGTGCCTGGAGGCTTGCTTGTTGCCGGGTTGTGAGGTTGCTCGTTTGTGTTGCGTTGCCGCTTGGGGGGGCGATGCGGAGGGACTGGGGTTTTGTTAGTTTTATGTGTTTAGAACTTGGATGGGTTCGATTGAGGGAATTCAGGATAGAGTTTGGTAGCGTTTGCGTTGGGAATGGGGGTTCTAGATGCTTTGCTTATGGGCTGGACTCCAGGTGATGTCCCGGGTCCGTAGCTTGATAACATACCATGATTACGGATGGATAATGGTAGAATGTCGGCTTCAAGGCTCGAGATCACAGATTGGATAAGCCTGGATGTTTATTCAGAGCTCAAAAAGAAGATAGAAAAGTAGAAACAAGAGCAAAGGGAGGATGCAGGATGACAACCACCGATGATGCTTCAGGCAGAGAGAAGCAGCGCGGCCAGCTCCTCCGGCAGACGAGAGAAACCAACAACGCAACACCAACCCATCCAATCACGTGCCCTCCACTTCCGCCGGCCAACTCAATTCTATCGCGATATTCTCGACAGCGAAAGGAGAAACGAACGCACACCTCACACCACCTAACATGTCTCAATTACTCTCCCCAATAGCCCTTCGGGCCCTACGGACTCTGATTCACCGTCCTGCGATCTCCTCGCCCCTCTGCCGCACCATCACCACATCACCCGCTACCTTCGCCTCGAAACAATCCCCCATCACCTCCCGCCTCAACTTCCACCCCGTCTTCCGCACAGCCGCCGTCGGCTTCTCCGCAGTGCCAAAGCGGCAATTCTCTAGCTCGCCTATCATCCGCGCTACGTACAACCAGGTCCGGCGCGGTATTCGTACTGGACAGCGGGCTCGTCGGGGTGGATCCCCTGCGTTGAAGGGTACGCCTGGGTTGAAGGGCGTTTGTCTTAAGACTGGTGTTACCAAGCCTAAGAAACCTAACTCTGGTGAGAGGAAGGTTGCAAGAGTGCGGTTGAGTTCTGGCAAGGTTATTACTGCTTATATTCCTGGTGAAGGTAAGATTTACTTGCGATTGAACTGGATTGGATTGGAAAGGTGCTGGAAATAGGATTCTTTGGATTCTTTTGCAGCGCTGGCTTTTTATTACGGAGATTTTGGCTAATTTTCTTGTACAGGCCACAATATCCAGCAGCATAGTGTTGTCCTGGTCCGTGGTGGACGTGCTCAGGATTGTCCTGGTGTGAAGTATACCCTTGTTCGTGGTGGAATGGATTTGGTAAGTCCTTTTTTGGCTTCTGTTTCGATATACCCACGTCCGGGTGTATGTCTTTCTAGATCTTTTACTGATTGTATGCTACTAGGGTGGTGTTGGAAGCCGTATGACGAGTCGCTCGAAGTACGGTACAAAGAAGCCGAAGACCAACTAAGATGGGTTCGGGGATACAGGTTGATCGTGACCTGCTGTGAGATTATACAATTTTGACCTTGTTTGATCAGCTGCTGTATAAGAGAATAGCCTCGTTAGGCTACTGGGATTTGGCTCTTTGCTCTTCGGAGAGCAACCTCTTTCTGTTCATATTTGCATGTAACACTACGGATTGCGACTGTTTATTATCATATCATCCCTTTCAATGTTTAACCTCACTAAAGTCAACTGTATTGATACCTTCGAAATTTTAGAGGTATAGAAAATGGTTCCGGGAATATCACTTTACTCCGTACCCATGCAACGAAACAAGCCCCCAAAAAAGGATGAACGCCATAGTAACACATGTCAGACATAGAAGTAAAACATCCTGGGGTAACGCGATAATGGGAATCAAAACGAAACAGTTTCAAGGTTATACCTGCAGGTTTTTGCCCAAGCGTGGTAAAATCGAATAGCATATTGCTTCATTCAGGTATGTTATCCACCCGAGCAGAGCGGGCGGACGGAGATTTTACCGGTTTTGTAGTTGCCGCGCAAATGGGTGACACTGTCAGCCTCTAAATGTGCAGCGCTTCATATCAGGACGAGACAACCGACCCGCGCATTGTCGCTAGTAAGGAAACGAAACGACTGGACCATCCGTGGATAGACCCAGAGGGACCGAGAGAACGTGAACAAGAGGTGTAAATCAGTCGTATTTCTTCTCCCATCCGTTCGGCTTCTCCATCTTGGTGATATCGAACCAATGCTTGGTGCCTGTGTCATAATTAGCTTTGCATTGGTATAGGCCAGAGGGGTATGAGCATACAAGAATAATCTTTCCAGTCGAAGTTATCCTTCGGTTGGCAGGAACACCTCAAGTCCAGGCGTTTCTTTTCATCCGTGGGGCAATGTGTGAATGGGACATGGTAGTAGGCAATCTCATCCCAGAAGTGGATTTCCTCCTTCTTCAACATCAGAGAAGCGGCAATAGAGTGAACCGGTGCGTCGCCCCATCGCTCATAGAAGAAGCCACCATCCTTGTCCAAAGACGTGAAATAATCAATGTATGCGTCGGACCGCAGCCACTCCAAGCTGCCAATTTCAAAGTTCGACCACTGGTAGAAAGGTTAGCGAGGTCGAAGTCACAACCAATTTGAAGTACTTACGAAGTGGCAGTTGTTGTATGTTTCTCCACCGTCGTTGCTGATGAATTCCATGGCATTTCCTTCAGAAACATGCTCGGGGTGGTTGCCTGTGAACTTCTTCACGCTATCCCACAGCGAAGGAATGGTCGCCCCATACTCGTACAGACTGATGACAAAGCTGTACTTCTTGTTGTTCTCCTTCATGAAGCGGAACGGATCGGAGTCGATATCACAGTAGAGCTCAATGCTAGGCTCAACGCGCCAGTAGTACTCATAGTTCATCATGAGTGGGTGGCGGAAGAAGAACCCAGACTCATAACGGCACATATGGCGGTAACTCTCCGAACCGCCGTAAATGATCTTCTTGCGGTCCATCTCCTGTCGCGCTTCTTGGGCCTTGTCCTGGTCGATCCACTCTGGGTACGACCAGTGTTCCTTGGGGATGACACCATAATGGGTTTTGCCTGAAACCAGTGCGGTGGTCAATTTCTTGAACTCATCATCGAACTCGTCGTCGTTCAGGAACACCCAATCATAGTTGTAGTTGTGGTTGAAACGGTCTTCGACTGTTCGAATGGACTTGACCATGTCCCAAAGGTCGGAGTTGCGCGCGAGGGTGACAAAGGTGGCATTTACACGTTTGCCATGGTGTGGACCGATAACTTGCGGTTTTTGTGACTTGACTGAGTCGTATGTGGGGGCCTTGGGTGTAGGTGTGGTTAACGCGGTGGTAGGAATCGGGATGGAGGATTTTGAGACGAAGAAGAAGACCGCCAATCCCTACTCAATGTTAGCAACGAGTATTCATTGGCATAAAAGAAAGACTCACTATGACGGCAAAGAGTAAGTAGCGCGCATATCGAATAGTGATAGACATGGTGATGTGGGGGGAGGAGGAATAAGGATGATTCCCCGTTAAGTGGCAAGGCAACAAGACAGGTCAGATCGGCGCAGTGGGAACCAATCCAGATCAAAAAGCGAGCGACATCAATGGAGGATGAGACAGAAGCAAAACGGAGAAGTCAGTGGTGGAAATTCCGAATGGTTTTAGGGGGGGGGGGCAAGAAGAGATTAAAGGTGGAAAGATCAAAGGCCGCGCAAGACAATGACAGCCGCTTTCAGCCACTGGGGTGTCACCCAATTTGAGACATTCTCGTGCTCAGGGGATATTATTAGAGTAGGTGGGTTAAGATCCGTGATTCGATCTTGGAGATGATGTCAAATCCACTTATAAAAGAGAAGTAAAAGGGAAATGATTCTCGTTATACTCCGTACAATATATAAGTACTGAGTAGTATCCCTATACCTAGGTATGTTGTTGACTTATTATTGTTACTATTCCGAGTATATACGTTATGTATGTTGTAGAGAGTTTTCCAAAGTATTACCACGTATATTCTAAATCCTCAGATAGCCCTATAATATCTTATCTCCTCTTAATCTTAGATATCTCTTTCCATATCCCAAAGAAGTTGAAAGCTGCACATCACAGAAGATCGACACCGTGGCTTGGCAAAAAATCACTTGCTGCCTGAGGCATCCGCACTCCAGAACTTCCCGTCCATCGATCGCACCTTTCCTCAACTTCCCCCCCACTAAGCTATTCACCCTCCCCCACCTCTTTCTCATTCTTCATCCAGAGGATGGCTTTCTTTGGATTTGATACCACCCTACCCAGGGACCGTGACGGTACTGGGGCTAAGGGGTTCTTCGAAAACCCAGATCCCTTTGCCGACATTGCTCGAGCGAATGCGCTGGGAGATGACGACGTGTGAGCTTATCTTTTTTCCCTAATGGCTTGGAATGGGCCATTGTACTTATTATCATCTAGGATCGATTTTGAGGATACCTACGATGGTCTTGGAGATCAGCTTTCCGACGACCAGGACGAGTTCAACGATGACACGTTTGGCGGAACGGGCGCCGATACATCCGTCGGCAGAGACTTTGATTTCTTTGGGAAAACTGCCCAGGTTTCTGATGCCATTGGCGAGGAGCAAGTTCGCTTTAGCCTACAAAATCCCAATGCAGCTCGAGTCGCTCAGCAGCCCGCCCAAGTTCCTGTTCAGCCGGCCGCCACCCAGACCACTAAGCGCTCTGGATATGAGAAGTACTCCGATCCCGATTATATTCCAGACTTGCAAGCCAAATCTAGTGTCTGGGGTGTCTCGCAGAAGAAACCTGAACCAGCTGCCGCTGCCGCTGCCCCGAGCCGGAAGATGATGAGCTTGGAAGAGGTCGAGGCACAGATGCGTTTTCATGGTCATAATACTGCGACTCCAGCCGCAGAAGCCTTTATGCGATCCATGGTGGAGCAGCCTCAGTACCCACCTCAGCTCCAGCACCTCCAGACGCTTCCTGATGGGTTCCCTCCGGTGCCGCCAGAGTTCATCCAAGCACAGATGAAACAGGGCCACCTACCCCCGCAAATACCACACCCACCCCCTGGTATGCCAGAGCTTTATGGTGGGCCTGGACACATGCCACCTGGTGGGCCGTTGCATATGATGCAGAACGCCAATCTCCCCCCCGCAAAACATGCCGCCTCCTGGCCCGCGCCATGCTGGTCCACCCCAGGCCCAGCGCCCTCAGCAACCCCAGCCCCCGCAACCTCTTCCACATCAGCAAGGGCCGCTTAGCCGGGTCTCCAACAATGGAATGCCGGTGATCACTAACCCGCAGCAACTCATGCATCTCACGGAAGAGCAACGTCAGGCTTATTTGGTGGAAGATGCTAAGCGGGCAAAGCGCAACCACAAGATCTTCCTCCTTTCCCGAGGCAATGGTTTGATGACACCGCAGGACAAGAATTTCATCACCCGTATCCAGTTGCAACAGCTGGTTGCGGCTGCTGGAAATGTCGCAGATTCAGATCCCGAGGCCGTGCTGGCGGAGGACTTCTACTACCAGGTGTACAGCCAGATCCGTGGCGCACCGCGCCAACACCCCCACCAGCCCCTTGGTCATTTCGCCCAGACTTATCTGCTCCAAACAGGTAACCGTCTCGGTGGGCACCGTCGGGGCAATTTCCAGAGCGCCGATAACCACATGCAGCGAATGCAGCAGCAGGTCCAGCGTGCCGTAGAGGCGGCTAAGGCCAAGCCCAAGAATAAGCAGCTCATTATCGAGGGCAGCTTGGGCAAGATCTCATTTAGCAATGCCAAGGCGCCCAAGCCGATGCTGAATATTAAGCGCCCTGATAGCTCAGAGGGACCTAAGCCCAAGAAGCAGTCGGATCTGAGTCTCAGTGACCGCAAGTCGATCCTTACGAATCTCGAAGGTGTTTACAGTGCATTGATGGCAATGGAAGATATGGAGCGCACGATGCCGCCACCCCCCGAGGAAGGCGACGCCGAGGCAATCCAAGAGCACATGGAATGGAGACAGAAGCTTCACTCGCTGAACCAGAAGTTGTGGCGGTCATTGAAAGTGATGGAACCAATTGTGCCCAACTCGACGACACCCCACCCCTTTATCGCATTCTTGTCATACCCCAAGGGCAAGAAGGCCATTCCTCGCATCTTCCGTCACATTGACCAGGAACAGCGTGTCACTATCCTCACCATGATTGTTGTCCACCTGGATAGCTTAGATGTGGTCCGTCTTGCTCAGCCCGTACCGGGTGAGGCCCAGCCATCGCTCGGTGTGCGCGAAGCTATTGACCTGTTCTCATTGGCCGTCATGCCCTGCCTTTTGGGATATGTGAACGAGGCACCATTCAACATTATTATTGGCCTTTTGGGATTGGTCATTAACCAAACCCATGTGCAGAGCGTCGCTCGCACCAAGGTCGGATTGGGCATTTTGACCATGTTGCTCAGTCGTGCCGAGATCGTCAAGGAGGCCGGTCAGGCTTCCGAGCACGATTGGCAGCAGTGGGTTGAGAAGTTCAATGTGTTATTTGATACCTTGGAACTCGGATTGAATGACATTTTCCCCGGATCGATCAGCTCCGGTGACGATATGTATGTGTGGCAGTTCCTTGCCGCCGTGGGCATTGGCGCCAGTCCTGAGCAACAACAACGTCTGGTTATTGCCGTGAAGTAAGTGTTTCCGGTTTGATCTAGTGATACGCAGAAACAGTGCTAATCAATTCCTTATAGGGACCGTGTCATGGAAACCGTGGGATATAGCAAGACCCTTCCTGCCGACATGGGCAGTCAGCGTCTGAACAACGTCAACCTTTTCATGCGGGCCATTGGTCTGGACGTTGAGCTCCTTGGTTAAAAAAAAATAGCCAGTTATTTTCTGAGCTATTTCGATTTTGATTTTGCCCTTGGCATGTTAACCACCACTTCCAAGCTCATCCGGACTTGGATGAATGAGAAGATCTATGAGGCTTTGAGTCTCGGTCTCATGGGAAATGTTGCTGAAATGCAACACACTATCTACCATCTACAGGGAATACGGGGCCCCAAATCAGGTTGTATTATTTTACCTGAACCCGGTTTATTTTATTTTTTTTTCCCAATACCAATTTCAGTTCAATGTTCTATATTCGACGCCAGTAAATAATATGCCGAGAGGTCACCGGGAACGGACCGAACCCCTTGCAGATGTCTGTCTCTATTCGGCACTGAAACGATGTTTGCAGGAAATTCAGGAGTTCCAGGGGAATACAGGGAATACGGGAATTCAATTTCTCTTTGCATGCAAATCTTTGCATATCTTTGCCCGTTTCGAGACTCAGGGCTGTTTTCACTGCCACGATCTCGGTCACACCACATACTTTGTACATAATGTCCGGATCAACAATGGCTAATAGCCTCAATTGGGAGAAAAAGGGAAATTAGAGGTGAAAACATGCAGATCAATATAACAACACTCATGAATAAACATAAAACAAGTTGAATATAAAAAACCAACAGGCCGCATCATCGCATCTCCACGTGTGAAAGACACACCGGGTCCCCCCCCACCCAATTTCCCCTTAAAAGCTGCCCCTCGTCCCCTTGTATACTCCGGACTCTCCGCGTACTATCTTTCTACCCTCAATTATCACACGAAATTTAATCATGCCTTCTGGTTCAGTTCTTGTTGCTGGGTAAGTAGTTAAATTCATTATTTGGGAATCTTATACTTGAACTACAACTAATTCCCCGCATAGTGGCACGGGCTACATTGGCTCGTTCACCACCCTCGCTCTCCTCGAGGCTGGCTACAAGGTCGTCGTTGCCGACAACCTGTACAACTCTTCGCCCGAGGCTCTCAAGCGTGTTGAGCTTATCTGTGGCAAGAAGGCTGAGTTCATCCAGCTCGATGTCACCGAGGAGAACGGCTTCGACAAGGTGTTCGAGGCTCACCCCGACATTGACAGCGTTATCCACTTCGCTGCCCTGAAGGTGGGTATCTTCACGGACTAAGAAAACATAAACCGTATAGCATGATCCAATAGCTAATGCAATTGCCCCGATTCAGGCCGTTGGCGAGTCCGGCGAGAAGCCCCTGGACTACTACCTGGTTAATGTTTACGGCACCATCAACCTCCTGCGCTCCATGGTCAAGCACAATGTCACCAACATTGTCTTCTCCAGCTCCGCCACCGTCTACGGCGATGCCACCCGCTTCCCCAACATGATCCCCATCCCCGAGGACTGCCCTTTGGGTCCTACCAACCCCTACGGCAACACCAAGTTCGCTGTTGAGACCGCCATCACCGACGTTATCAACGCCCAGCGCAACAACGCCATCAAGGCCGGCAACGAGGCCGAGGCCAAGAAGTGGAATGGCGCTCTGCTCCGCTACTTCAACCCCGCCGGTGCCCACCCCAGCGGTATCATGGGTGAGGACCCCCAGGGTGTCCCCTACAACCTGCTCCCTCTGCTTGCCCAGGTTGCCACTGGCAAGCGCGAGAAGTTGATGGTCTTCGGTGATGGTATGCCAACCCCCTCTCCCCTCCATATTACCTAGGTCCCTAAGCTAATACCACCCTAGACTACGCCTCGCACGACGGTACTGCCATCCGTGATTACATCCACATCCTGGATCTCGCAGACGGCCACCTCAAGGCCCTGAACTACCTGCGCGCCAACAACCCCGGTGTGCGCGCCTGGAACTTGGGTACCGGCAAGGGCAGCACTGTCTACGAGATGATCCGCGCCTTCTCCGCCGCTGTCGGGAAGGACCAGCCCTACGAGGTTGCTCCCCGTCGCGCTGGCGATGTCCTCAACCTCACTGCCAACCCCACCCGCGCTAACACCGAGCTCGGCTGGAAGGCTGAGCGCACCCTCGAGCAGGCTTGCGAGGATCTCTGGCTCTGGACTAAGAACAACCCCCAGGGTTACCGCCAGGAGCCCCCTGCTGAGCTCCTCGCTCAGCTTAAGAAGTAAATTTACTTCGGGTCCTGATATAGCAAGTGTTTTGTGGTTTGTGATGATCTTGCCTTTGTTGATATAGAAGTCTTGGATCTAGTTGGTAGAATACATGAAACGAATTTCCTTTTTTGTGATGCTTGGTCTATAAGTTCGAGCTTGTTCTCTTATCACAGTAGAGTACAGCCCTCAATTCCGTCTATATATCATATCATGCCATACCTACAAAACGGGTATACATTTCTCACTTATTTCTGAGCTTTCCGACTCCTCCTCGACCCATCAGTCTTCTTCCCCTTATCTCAGCCGCCTCCTGCTTCGCCTTCTCAGCCTCAACCTTCTGCTTCTCAACCTCAGCCTCCTTCTTCTCCAAAGCCCTCATAACAGCACTCTCCTTCTCCGCCTCTTCAACCATTTTCCCACTAAACTCCCAAAGCTTCTTCCCAACCTCATCACTCCGTACATCAGTCCGCGCATAATCCATCTCCCGACACTCCTTAATCAACCACCCACCCTCACCCCGCCCATACTGCTGCTCCATGGCCGCATAAAGGATACTCTGCGCACCCTGCACAGGCGACTTCAACAGCAGCCACCAAATAGGCCAGGTGAGCAAGTACAACGCAAGACCCCACAACGACCCACCAGTCAACCAGCGCCGCATGCCCGGAGTCCGCGTCAACCCAGGATCAACAACGATAACCCGCGTACAAGGCGGCAGACTATCCGGCCTCTCGTACGCATTCAAATGCCGCTGGAACGAGTGCGCAAAGATAGTCAGCGCAAGCTTGCTGAGCGCATACACGCCCTTGGGCTGCGCGTACAGCGGGGGAGAAGTCTTCGTGCGCTTCGATACCACCTTCTGCTTCCCCCGTGTCACAGAGTCCAGCTTGCTGAAGTCGGCGCCGATGTAGCTCGAGCACGTTGCGAAGATCACGCGCACGTCGCGGTGGGCGGGCTGCGCGCGTAGGGCTGGGCTGAGGATGCTGAGGAGGTGGAAGTTGGCGAGGTAATTCGTTTGCCATTCTGGGTCGATGCCGTCTATTGTTAGGGCGCGGGGTCTGGAGGGCTCGGCTGTCCCGCCTGCGAGAATTATACAGTCTAGTCGGCGGGGTGGGATGTTGTCGATCCATTTTGTTGCGAAGGTGCGGATTGAGTGTAGGGAGGAGAGATCCACTTGTTCGGCGTAGATTAGAGGGTTTTTTGTGCTGGTGCGGAGGTCGTCGATGTATTCGGAGAGGAAGAGGTCGGAGGGTGGTTGCCGGGTTAGCAGGATTACTTGGGCGCCGCGGGTTGCGAGCTCGCGGACTACTTCTGCGCCTATCCCGGAGGTTCCGCCCTGATGGTTTTTTTTGTTAGCTTGGCTAATTGGGCAGTGGTGTGGTGTTGGGGAATGTCTTACCGTTACCATTATAACTTTTGATCGCATCATTCGCTCGGAGCCGTTGCGGGCTCCTTCGAAATAGTATTTCAGTGCTGCGAGGGCTAGCACCCATGGTGCTATGCGGAGGACTGTCCAGGCATGTGGGATTGACGAGATGCCATCCCGGAGACCCTGGGCAATGATGGGGATGGGCATATTTAGTTGAGATGGGAAGATGGGGGAGAGAGGACAGGTGTGTGTCCAAAGGGATTTCTCCAACGTACACGTACCTCCGCTTATCTCTTATCGCCACTCTCTAATTCCGCTCCGCCCCCCCAACTTCTCTTCTTTCTTCCCTTGCCTTCACAGCTCTACCAATCCCAACCATGGCCTCCGAAGACGAAGACTACTTCCTCCCACCAGAACAACAGCGCCCCTTCAGCTCCGGCATCCGGCGCAAACGCGTGCAGTTCGTGCGTTCCTCCAATCTAGACACCACAACTGCTCCAACTCCCTCCTCTTCCTCCGGCACCAGCATCGCAGACAAATACCTCTCTATTGTGATGAGCCAACCAGCCCCAAACACATCACCAAACACACCAATCCAACACGCGCCGTCGTCACCACCAATCCGCACACACTCCGCGCCGCCAGCCTCAGATATCATCCCGCCTCCACCCACAGCGCCCGCACCAGAATACTGCGACGTGTGCAAGCTACCTATCCCATCACAAGCACCAGGAGACACAACAGACCAAAGGGCCCGACACGAAGCCTCTCTCGCGCACCAAATCTGCCTCACTCACTCCCACCCGCCGTCGCATCTCGACCGCACGCGCACAGGTCTCCGATACCTCTCTACCTACGGCTGGGATCCTGATAGTAGGCTGGGGCTCGGTGCATCGGGCCGTGAGGGTATTCGTGAACCTATCAAACCTCGCATCAAGCGTGATACGGCTGGGTTGGGGACGGGTCTTGATCGGGATGGAGATCCGCTGCCGCCTAGACCGGCGCCGCCAGTGAAGGTGCAGAAGCTTAATTCTAAGCAGGCGCGGAATAAAGCTGCGGAGGATAAGAAGAGGGCGGAGAGGATCAGGAAGGCTTTTTATCAGAATGATGAGGTTTCGAAGTATCTTGGGGAGGGGGTTTAGGTGGTGGATTTTGTGGATGGTGGAGATTGACTATCTTTCTTTTTATACTTACGTTTGATGATACCCTATTTGTTATTCGGTTATTCTGTACATAATGTTGTCTTATGTGGATATCACTTTCAATTGGAGATACAGCATTTGTCTCTGTTGAATGCTTGGCTTGAATATTTACCGTGTGCTAGGTACAGTAACTTGAAACTGGTGTCCAGATTCTACCTAGCATAAATTGTAGTGCAGTGAAAATACTCCCATGACTTGGGTCTTTATAAGACCCATCATAGGAAAGAAATGAAAAACCGCTGAGAATAGCGCCTTGAATGCTCGGGACCAGACCAGACCAACAGAAAGACAAGGAAAAGAATGGTATCACAAAAGCGCTGGACAGGGACAGCAGGACACAGGAAACAGGGCGGGATCAAGAGAAACGGAAATGGAGAAGGCTACTTGAAGAAACGGTATTTTTTCTCCTTCTTCTCCTTTTTATCCTTCTCCTTTTTATCCTTATCCTTCTTGTCGTGCTTCCCGTTGCCAGATGAGGCAGGGCTGTTTCCGCTTCCGTTTGAGCTTATTGACATACCAGCCATCATCGCCTCTGGAGGAGCTGGTGGATTGAGGTGTGCTGTTGAGACGGGCTTCTTCTGTGGCGGCGGATTGGGGGCCGGAGGGGCCTCGCGCTCGAAGAGATGGGCCGGAGCGGTAGGTTTGGGGCGGTCCGCTGGGAGGTCGAGACGACGCCGGTCAACACTAAGGTCGCCTACCTGGCGAAGGAAGAGACCTGGGGTCAGCATGTGCGTCGTGGCAAGGTAGACGTCCCGGTTGTATGCCGCTGAGACTTCGTAACAGGCTCGTGACTCGCCGTAGGTGGCACCACCGGCCATAAAGACAATTATGCGCTGCCGGGGCTGATCGACGGATCTTGTGCGTGCCCAGGTAGGTTTTGCACTGCGCAAAGACGCCTGCTGTGACTGCATTTCTTGGGCAGCTATGGCGCTGTCCGTCTCGGTGTGCGGGCGGGTGAAGGGGAAGGAAGTCGCGTCCAGATTGCCCTGAAGCTGGTCTTCGAGCATCTGCTTGAGAGCCAGCTCATACCGACTCAGGCTGAGCTCCTCTGATTCAGGTGGTGGGTTTCGTCGGGTGAAAAGAGGTTGCACTGGTGGCTTTTCGTCTTTGAGAGGCTTCTCGACACGAACTCCAAGGAGGTCGAGGTTGGCAATCACTGCGCCGTCCTTTGATGGGAGTCCAGCGTGCGCCATGAGTTTGCGAATGTCACCACCTAGCAATCCACCACGATAGATGATGTACAGGAGTATTAATCGAAGTCGATCTGGTTGTATGACGGAGTCGTCATCAAGGAGCTGTACGAGCTGCGCTGCTAAGTTCTTTGCCTTTTTGTAGTTCTCATCCAGACCCGTGGCGAATGACTGCTCGGTGGAGCTCACTTCCAAGAGTTTGCGGGACTGGAAGTAGTTCATACACTCTTGTGCCATGTTGAGGTGCAGCGTGTAGGCACTCTTGCCCTCTTGGAATTCTGTCAGTCCGCCCAACATATCCTTGATGGTGTTCACGTTGTGCTTGTCATTACTAAAATCCCAAGTTAGTAGTCCGACTCTAGTATAGGGACGACCTGTTGAAACTCACTCTTCGGCGAATTGAGGGTGTGCTGCTCGGAATTTGGCAAAGTCCTCGCCCAGTTTCCCAAGCACGTCCTTCATGTGCATATGGCGATAGTCCACCCAGACTCGATCATGCTCGCCGATATCCATCTCCTTGGTCTCCTCATTTCTGGTGCCCTGGTTTAAAACTGTCTTGTAGGTGACCTTGTCTCCATCTGTGACAGGAAGAAGATCGTGGACCATGGCCTGGTATGTAAACTCGTGAAGAAGTGGCGCGAGCAAGTCCATGGAACGGTCTACTACGAGCAGTACGCCTCGGGGGCGGTTTGTTTGAGGCGGGAAGTCACGCTGGTACTGCGCGAACTGATCCAATTCATTTTGAATGAAGCGCGCCAAGTGAGAGCACATAACTCCGGCCTCATGAGTCGGAGATCGAGGCCGATAGTACCGAATTACAGGGTACTCGCCCAGGGAAGCGCAAAGAGAGACGACCTTGATTCAACGTCAGCAAGTTCAATTGGTGTACTCGGAGAGTATATCATACCTTCTGGGCCAATTCTTCCAAATGATGCCGAATCAAATTGTTGCAGCCAGGGTGGAAGAGCACCGGGAAGCTCCACGGATCCCGGAATGTGATCAAGCGCGATTCTCTGGGGTAGAAATTGATGTTCATAGTGTAAAAGTCCGCAATTCGCTCGCGCGCCATTTGGGACCGGTCAAGCCGAGATCGCTGCTGCGGATCGAGGTCTATAAGCTGTGTGAGTGGAATGACGTCGCAAAGACCTTGGGTTCATCGGCCCACTAACATGAAGTCCACACCAAGAATGCCTTTCTGTATCGGCCCACCTCAAAATCTGCCATCAGACAGTCGACCACGTACGACTCCGGGGACAATATGTACAACGCATCCATATCGGGATTGGGCGGTCGTCGATGTTCGAGCTGCTCAACATCTACAGAGTGGCATTAGTGAAATCGCTTGAGTCGCAAACCACAAGACGAGCTCACTAGAAACATTGAGATTGAGAATTTCTTCCTCCTTGACAGCGCCTTCGACCAATTTCTTGCTGGCCTCATCCACCACCAAGACTTTCCACTATTAGGGGGGGAGGGCGCCGTCAGTATCCGCGGTAGAGGGGTTAATCGGAGGGGTCGGGCTCACCTCGTTGCCACCGGCATTGCGGATTGTGTTCAGTATAACTATTCCAGACAGTTCAAGATCAGCAGGGGTTCTTTGGAAGAGGTAGTAGAAGTAGTCACCCACAGTCGCGTTGAATGTTAATTATCGAGGAGCCCATGCTGGCGGGCAGCCCACAACTTGGGGCTTCAGGGTGAGGATTTGGACAAAAAGGAAGAAATAAAACAACAGATAGTAAGGAAGATTGACGAGATGTTCACAAGGGAACTAGGGAGAGGAGAGGTGGCCGTCTGAGGTATATGAAGGGAAGATGGTTTTCCCCACCATTGGAGCTTTAAAGTGGAGCGGGTCGATAAGGGAACTTTTTGGGTTTGTCTCCTATGTCCCTTGATACTCTCTACTTCTCTTTGTTAAGCAACTGTTCGACCCTCTTTGCCCCCCCGAATTGTTCCTTTCTACGGGATTGGAACCCCCCGTCGTCCAGGAATGCAGCCATGGACTGCCGGTAGTCGTTCCCTCTGCGCTTTGCGACCCTTGACTCGTTTCGCTGTACGACCCTTCACTACAACATCGATTCTACAACGATCGAAAAAGGCCAAATCCGCAATCTCCCCGGACAGGAAATCGGACACAAAAAAAGGCAAAACACTTGTGGGGGGGCTCCCCCGGAAGGTCCATACGACAGGATATTGCGGCTGCACGAGATTTCAACGAACTGGTGGAAGCAACCCTACGCGATGTATACAGCAAGTTGAACAAGTCAGGCGAATCGCTAGAAGGATGGACTCAATTTGAGCGCCAAATAAAAAATGCCTGCAAATCAGATGATAAGAAGGCATCCGCACAATGGGGACCCCTTCGGCATATTAAGGTAGCGCTGCAAAAGGCCTACCTTGCCTCCGGACTTCAGGGTCTGCGGGAGGAGGTGGAATACATGCAGTATTCGGAAAACATCACTGCTAGGTTTTCAGCACCCATTTTAGAAGCACAGCAAGAAGTGGCCGACCTTCGATGGCCAGCCGAGTGGTATCCGCGCGCACGCTCGATGCAGCGAACAATCCATCTCCATGTTGGACCGACGAATTCCGGAAAGACCTACCATGCGCTGCAACGGCTGGCGAAAAGCAAAAATGGATTCTATGCAGGTCCGCTGAGATTGCTCGCGCAAGAAGTATATCATCGATTTAAGGCCGATGGGGTTCCATGCAGTCTCGTCACTGGTGACGATGTCAAATTTCCCGATGATGATCAAGTGCCGCGTATTACTAGCAACACCGTGGAAATGGTCAGCCTAGGGCAGGAATATGATGTTGGCGTGATCGATGAGATCCAAATGATTGCTAACTCATCAAGAGGATGGGCATGGACTCGAGCTTTCCTTGGTGCTCAAGCCACCGAACTGCACCTGTGCGGTGAGACCCGTGCGATACCGCTGATTCGGGAGCTATGTGCACTCACGGGAGACAAATTGGAGGTCCACCGCTACGAACGTTTGAACGCCCTGGAAGTGATGCCGCACAGTTTAAAGGGTAATCTCAATAGCCTGGAAAAAGGTGACTGTGTAGTCGTATTCTCCCGGAAAGGTATACATGCCATGAAGGCAGATATCGAGAAGACTACCGGAAGACGCGCTGCCATCGTTTACGGTGGTCTGCCAGCAGAGATTCGGACACAACAGGCGAACCTATTCAATGACCCAGAAAATGACTATGACTTCCTCGTGGCAAGTGACGCGATCGGTATGGGTCTTAATCTGTGAGTTCTGCCCTCCCTGATAATATTTTGCGCTTCCATACTAACCCACGATAGGAGCTGCAAGCGTGTTATATTTGACACCCTCGTCAAACGTGTTCCGGCTGGACTTCAACGACTCACTGTCCCTGAGATCAAACAAATTGGTGGGCGCGCTGGTCGATATCGTCCAGCCAATGCCAAAGAAAGCACAAATGATGAGCCTAACGTGGGCCTGATCTCCTGTCTCGAAGAGGTTGACCTTCCATATATCCAGCAGGCTATGAAGTTGGAGCCCCCACCGCTGAGTGCGGCGGGTATTTTCCCTCCAGAATCTGTTTTCCGGAAATTCGCAGCCTACTTCCCACCAGGTGTACCTTTCGAATATCTGATCAAGCGGGTCTTGGAAATTGCCAAGGTCGGCCCTTTGTTCTTCTTGTGTGATCCTAGCAGTCAGTTGGAAAACGCCGAAATCATCGACACTGTGAAAGGACTACCATTCGAGGACCAGTTAAAGTTCATGGTTTCTCCAATGGACCGTAAAAGTTCAGGCTCGCGTGATGTTACTGGTGCTATGGCCGACTGCGTAGCCGAACACCATGAGGGACGACTGTTGGACATCGCGTATCTTAACCTGGAAGTTATCGAGCAGCCCGTTTCTGGCAGCAACGACTATTTGCATGATCTGGAGAGCCTTCATAGGGCAGTTATCTTGTACCTGTGGCTCAGTTTCCGTTTTGGTGGTGTCTTCACTGACCGAACCCTGGCAAGCCATGTCAAGGAACTTGTTGAAGAGCGGATGGTTCGGGCATTGACTGAATTCTCTGCTAACAAGAGGCTGCGGAAGGGTGCTTCTCTGAAGCGCCAGATTGCGCTGCAGAAACAGTTGTTGGAGCAGGAACGTATGGGAGTTGCTGGAGACTGGATGAACCCCTCCGGTGAAGGAGAGCAGATGGAAATCAATCTGCCCGAAGAGGCTGCTTCAGAGGTTGCGGAAGGTGCAGAGAGTGCAGAGGGTGCATCGTCTGACTCTGAACTCTCATTATATGAGCCGTCACCAGAGGCAGAGGGCGAGGAGGAGGGCCCATCCCCCGACTTGGACGACTCGGAGCCTGATTCAACTGAGTCCTACTATGACACAGAAGTTCCCAGAGAGTGATGAATATGTACAACAGGAAATATGTATATTAGATGTATAAAACCGATCTCCAATACTCAGTACCTAATACCTATGGATCTCATTATTGTTCCTTTTTGATCAATTGTGCGTCTTTCTCGGCTTGCATTCACCTCTTGATTTTCCGGCATTTACTATTATTCCGTCACCATAAATCGACTATGAAGTCTCACTGATCTGATCGCGCGCCCAGGTGCTACAGTCCAAAAATGTTAACACCTGCCCCACACCTTGATCACATAGAATTCTGCCAGTTAAAATCCCCCATACATTCAAACCAGCTGTATTCAATTATTAGCGCATATTATACGGCGGTGTAGACCATACAGGAAGGCGGTATATACATGGGGCCATAGGGGTGCTAAGACTTTTCAACAGTCAATAAATTGAGCATACCGCCTTATCTTATCAGTGGCGACTTTCGGCCACACTAATTTTCCGCCTTCAAGATCCCGACAGGCCTCCGAAGAGCTACAGGGTAGCAGTGTTTTGCGCGCTCGCCAATTTACACGTCCCTTGTCTAGTTCTGCTGGCTCTATCTCTTATTTGGTTGGATCTCTTTTGCTCCACCACCCATCATGGATGACCTCGAGTCTTTGGAGCTGTTCTCGCTCGTCTCGCGCGTGACGAACGAGTTCGAGAACCACCTGGGAATCGCCGACAAGACCCTCGCAGAGTTCGTGATCGACCAGCACCTCAAATGCAACGGCAAGTTTTCCGATTTCAAGAAATTTTTCGACGACATGGGCGGCGAATTCCCGCAGAGTCTCCTGGAGAGTGTCGATCGCATGGTGCTCACGATGCACCCAAAGTACAAGGGAAAGAAAGCAGAGAACGCGAACGGCGCTCCTGATGCCAACGACGACATGGATTTGCTTGACGCTCTGGAACAAAAGTCTCGTGTGTTCAAGGGCCTTGCAGTACCCGATACGGAGAAACGCTGGGAGGAAGAAGACTACATAGATCGCCAAGCGGCAGACGAGGCCGATGCACAAGCAGGCGCGATGGACGACACTTTCGCCATGCTTGAAGGCCTGGCAGGAAAAGCAAAGGAGGACAAACCACATGCATCGAGAAACGATCGCGGGACGAGGAAGCGGAGCCGCAGCCCCGATTACAACGATTACGACCGTGGACGGCGCAGAGACAAATACCGCTCGCGATCAAGGTCTCGAAGCGCCCCGCGGTATAGCAAAAACGATGATCTCGTAGACGAGTTCGGGAGATCGATTGGAAAATACGGCAACCGGGAAGACAGTCGTCGCAATGGACACAGTGACCGCCGGAGACGTCGTGATCGCGACGAGGATGATGATTTCCGTCGTCCTCCGCCTGTTGAGCTGGATGACCATCCTGTTCTCTTCAAGATCTATGATGGAACCGTGACCGGTGTGAAAGACTTCGGTGCCTTCGTGAATCTAAAGGGCGTCAGGGGCAAGGTGGATGGACTTGTTCACGTTTCAGCAATGCAAGAAGGAGCACGAGTGAATCATCCCTCGGATTTAGTCTCGCGCGGACAACCAGTCAAAGTCAAGGTGGCTAGTATCGATGGCACTCGCATCGGACTGTCCATGAAGGAGGTGGATCAAGTGACAGGCATGGATCTTGTTCCCCAGAAACGCCTTGCTTCCGGTGCAAATATGGAACGTCTCGATGGCGGATTCACAGATGACAGGTACGGTAGTCTCGGCTCCGAGGTGCCCGTCATTGAAGGTTCCGGAGGTCGGCCAATGAGGAACCGAAAGCGCATGACTTCGCCGGAGCGATGGGAGATCCGACAGTTGATTGCCTCCGGTGTTGCCTCTGCAGCAGATTATCCCGACATCGACGATGAATATAATGCAACGCTCACCGGCGAAGGCACTTTCGAGGAGGAGGAAGATATCGATATTGAGGTCAAAGACGAGGAGCCTCCTTTCCTGGCTGGCCAGACGAAGCAATCCCTCGAGCTTTCTCCCATTCGTGTTGTCAAGGCTCCCGATGGTTCAATGAACCGTTCTGCAATGGCAGGCACTAACCTTGCCAAGGAGAGACGCGAATTGAAGCAGCAGGAAGCACAAGACAAGGCAGCCGAAAAGGCGGCGGATGTCGATCTCAATGCTCAGTGGCAGGACCCCATGGTTGCACCCGAAGAGCGCAAGTTTGCCGCTGATCTTCGAAGTGCTCAGCAGCCCAAGCAGGACGAGGCTATACCGGAGTGGAAGAGAGCGACGATGGGCAAGAACACATCTTTCGGGAAGCGGACGAACATGTCCATAAAACAACAACGCGAGAGCCTGCCAGTCTACAAGTTCCGGAAGCAATTGCTGGATGCAGTTAAGGACAATCAAATGATGATTGTCGTCGGAGATACAGGTTCTGGAAAGACCACTCAGTTGACGCAATACCTGGCCGAGGGCGGATATGGAAACAACGGAATAATTGGTTGCACTCAGCCTCGCCGTGTTGCTGCCATGTCAGTGGCTAAACGTGTGGCCGAGGAAGTTGGTTGCAAGCTCGGAGCAGAGGTTGGATATACCATCCGTTTCGAGGATTGTACTAGCCCAGACACCAAGATCAAGTACATGACGGATGGAATGCTTCAGAGAGAAATTCTTCTGGATCCAGACCTCAAGAGATATTCTGTCATCATGCTCGACGAAGCGCACGAGCGGACAATCGCGACTGATATCCTGTTCGGATTGTTGAAAAAGACAGTCAAAAGAAGACCTGATCTCAGGTTGATTATCACGTCCGCCACACTGGACGCTGAAAAGTTCTCCGAATACTTCCACGGCTGTCCCATTTTCTCCATCCCCGGCCGGACTTTCCCTGTCGAAGTCATGTACTCCAAGGAGCCCGAATCTGATTATCTCGATGCCGCACTCATCACTGTCATGCAAATTCACTTGACAGAACCCCAAGGTGATATTCTGCTCTTCTTAACAGGTCAAGAGGAGATTGATACGGCATGTGAGATCTTATTCGAGCGCATGAAAGCTTTAGGGCCTACTGTCCCTGAGCTGATCATCTTGCCTGTCTATTCTGCACTACCTAGTGAGATGCAGAGTAGGATTTTCGATCCTGCACCTCCAGGCGGACGTAAAGTCGTTATTGCAACCAACATTGCGGAGACCTCGATCACAATTGATCAGATTTACTACGTCATTGATCCCGGTTTCGTGAAGCAGAACGCCTACGATCCAAAGCTCGGCATGGATTCTCTTGTGGTGACCCCGATTTCCCAAGCGCAGGCAAAGCAAAGAGCTGGCCGTGCCGGAAGAACTGGACCTGGAAAGTGTTTCCGATTGTACACGGAGGCTGCCTACCAGTCTGAAATGCTTCCAACAACGATTCCCGAAATTCAACGTCAGAACCTCTCACATACCATTCTTATGCTCAAGGCAATGGGTATTAACGACCTTCTCCACTTCGATTTCATGGACCCACCCCTACCAATACCATGTTGACAGCACTCGAAGAACTATATGCCTTGTCAGCACTTGATGATGAGGGTCTTTTGACTCGACTCGGACGAAAGATGGCCGATTTCCCCATGGAGCCTGCGCTTGCCAAGGTGCTCATTGCATCTGTGGATTCGGGCTGCTCCGATGAAATGCTTAGCATTGTCGCCATGCTGTCAATCCAGTCTGTCTTCTACCGCCCCAAAGAAAAGCAGCAACAAGCAGACCAGAAGAAGGCCAAATTCCACGATCCGCACGGCGATCATTTGACCCTGCTTAATGTCTACAATGCATGGAAGCACGCAGGTTTCAACAACTCCTGGTGTTTCGAGAACTTCATCCAAGCACGACAGATCAAGCGCGCCAAAGATGTGCGCCAGCAGCTGCTGGGCATCATGAATCGCTACAAGCACCGGATTGTCTCTTGCGGCCGGGATACCATCAAAGTGCGACAGTCCCTGTGCACCGGCTTCTTCCGCAACGCAGCGCGCAAGGACCCCCAGGAAGGATACAAGACCCTGGTGGAAGGAACACCTGTGTATATGCACCCCAGCTCCGCGATGTTTGGCAAACCGGCCGAGCACGTCATCTACCACACCTTGGTCCTCACGAGTAAGGAGTACATGCACTGTACCACTGCCATTGAGCCGAAATGGCTCGTGGAAGCGGCGCCTACTTTCTTCAAGGTTGCACCTACGGATCGATTGTCGAAGCGTAAGAAGGCGGAGCGCATCCAGCCTTTGCACAACCGCTTTGCTGGCGAAGACGATTGGCGTATCTCTGCCCAGCGGCGGCAGGGTAGAGGTGGTGGTGGTGGAACTTGGGGTTGATTTTTGTTCTGTTTCAAATATACCAGCCATGGTTGCAATTGTGTGTTTTGTTTTCTTGCGTCTTATATCTCCCTATCAATGTGCTTTTGCATGAACCACTCAGCTTAAAATATCGGAGTTACTTCTTTTGGATCTAGTTCTTGTATGATATCTAGATGGGAATAATTAACTTGTTCTCCTAAGTTATCCTCTCAATTTCGAAACTCACTGGGCATCCAGCTGGCAAAAAGGACTTAGTCGTAAATGCATCAAACTTCTTCCTTATCTGGTTCAGGTATCGCAATGCGTAGCGAGCACTGGGGACTAAATGACAGAGGAATCGACAACCACAGTAGTAAAAGTCTCCACTGCCCAGGTGGAGGCTAATGGCACACCGCCTATATATTAACCCGACAGAACAAGGCGGTGTATCCACACTTTTATCCTGGGCGGGGAGGTCTTGACCAATCAAAGAACTGGGAACGTCGATGGTATCGGAACATCTGAAGATAAAAAAAAAATAAGTTACAACACCAACCCATAAAATCATGTCGCACATCACAGAACATCCCTCTCGGGTTAAGAGAAGAAAGATTGATGATCCTAAAGCAGAGAAACCAACTGTCACGTCCAATATCAAGTCTGCGGCTTCCCTGCGCGACCTGTTGGCTGTCCAGCAAAATGCCCCGTTGGCAAAGCAAGGTGAGACAGATCGCAACCCATCCAAACCTACATCAAAACTGACTAGCATATAGGTATAATCAAGTTTAAAGAGTTCTTGGTGTCAATTGCACACACGGAAAAGGAGAGCGACAAAGCAGAGAAATTGCGCGTCCTCAAGGAGTATTGCGATAAGCAAATCACCAACTCCGGAAAAGAGAATGAAACCTCAGTGTGCTTCGCGGATCTCATCCAGTCTTGGTCATTTGGCGATGGCAATAACAATGAGCCTTTATTGACCAGTGTCCCTTCTGTTCTTGCGATCTTCCTCAAGACGATTTCGTCGGAACTCGAGTTCCGGGACTTCGGAATCGCCCTGTGCAAGCATTTGCTGCAGAAAGACCAGCTGAGATTGTTCAACCGTGGTCTGACAGCAACTAAGTCCAAAGAGCACTTGATCTCACCATGTCTCCGTTTGCTTACGGAGATCGTGACTTTTGACGGAGGAGCCGTTGCACGACAGCTGTACCTCCGGCGGTACATTACCTTTAAGCGACTAGAGGTATTCTTAACCCCCAATAAAGCACAGGAGATCTCCGAGGATGAGTTCCACAAGTCGACTCTCAGACGCAACGCTCAGCGATACCTGCTAGCGAACCTGAGGGTTCAGCATGCCTCCGAAAAGGGTGATATCATCGAACAGCACAAGATCACCAGATCTTTCCTTGAATATATCCGGAAGGATCCGCGGGATGCTGTACTAGAAATTATCAAGGCTATCGAGAGGGACGTGGTACAAGATTCCGCTCTGTCCCGCAAATCGAAGAGCAAATTTTTCAACAGACACAACCTCGAACGACTGGTGACACTTTATGGTTATGATCGAGAGTCAGATGAACCTAATGCGGGAGGAATAGTCATCGCCAATGAGATCCACCGAGTCATGATGAATGTGTGCAAAACTGCCGGGCTCGGCGTTCTCTTACCCGAGACCGGTTGGTATCCCGTCGGAACCGATCCAGAGACCTTGCCTGTTGATGATGATACGTGCATTGAGTTGGGTCTTGATTCCCCCGTCTACGTCGACAAATACAGAGAGTCTGTCCCCGTGCGGAATGGCTCCCTTTCATTCCTCATTCAGTGCCTCCGGCCTGATGTGGATAGTCTTCAGATTGAACTGCTGGTGTCAATCTTTAGGGTGGCACCAGAGCTCGTCGCCGATTACTTCTCGAGGAAAACTATGTTTATTTCAGACCCCAAGGCCACCCCATCATGGATGGCCGAATCTGCTTTCCTTTTCTCAACTGTGCAATTGCCTGTCCCTGCAAACTGTGGTTGGAAGGATAAACAGCCTATCCTGCCGCCGCCGGTTTCTATCGTTATTGAAAATATTCTCCCTCGTCCCCTTGGCCAGAAGATCATGGCCCGCTGCCTCAACCAGAATGCAGAGATTATCACTCTGTTCGCTGTGCGGATTTTGACCCTTGCGTTCACTAAGCTGCGAGCTGTCCTCAAAATCTTCCAGGCTGATCACGGCCAAGGCCAGCTATTCTGGAATCAGGCTTCTGCCAAGTTGCTGGCGGAGTTCTCTCGCCGGTGCCCTGCTGTCAAAGATGTCGTTGTCCTCTTCCGACGAACAGACAAGGAGGACCTGACCCAGCAGGAGGCTGTGGCAGAGCTCTTGACCTGTTACTATGAAGTGATGCCGGACATTGCTCTGGAGGAAAATTTTGATGTCTCACTGGTCTTGGTGGATGTTCTCAAGCGGCTGGAGGCCCCAGGCGTTAGCGCGGATGATTCTGAATCGCTTCTCAGCCAGCTTCAGAGCATCCTCCAGATAGCACAGCAGTCCGCTTCATTGCGTTGGTGGCAAAAGCCAGCATCTATGCAGTACTCACCCTTCACCTCGATTCTTAAGGTTCTCATGGGTACTTCAGATAAGGACTCTTCGCGGCGTATCTCTACCCTTCTCAAGACCGTTCTAGTTGAAAACTCTGTTCTGCAAAGCTCGCCACACGCATTTGCGTCTGTCTTGTCAAGCCTTGAGAATTCCGAAGCTGAGGCTTTGCATTCACAGCTGGTCTTCTTTGATAACTGTGTCTCCCGTGTCGCCAAGAAGCCGGTTCACTACCAGGATTTGCTACAGTCATTATCTGAAGATGTGTCTAAAACTACTAGCGCGCTTGTTGCTGCCATTGTTGAGCAATGGCCATTCGTCGTCAAGAGTGGAGATGCACCCACGGAAGCTGCTGTTGGAGCGTGGATCGCAAGTCTTCTAGGTAATCTGAAGCAGGCTGGTGAGAGCACCAAGGTACTCAAGGCTGCTCGGGATGCGTTGGTTGAAGCCACCGAGACTAAGAAAACCAAGTCACTTCTAAAGAAGTCCCTGAAAGAAGCGGATGATGCCGACAACGAGGACAAGATGGACATTGACTCTGGCTCTAACATGCCTAGTTCATCCAAAACAGCCTCTACCGTTGATCTCAATGAGATCTTTGGCTTCCTGCCCACCGAAGGCACAACCCACAACGCCCTGAACAAATGGGAAAGAGAAGGACATTGCAGAAGCAGTGGACCAGGGCCACATCGCCGAGTTGATGCTCTGCCTTTGTTCTCAGCATGAGGAAGTCCGACGACAGGCATTCGCCAGCATTATTCGCTTCATGGCTAAACTCAAGGAATCAACCTACGCCGAATGGCGCACGGTGTTTACTCTATCCGGCGAGCTCCTCGAGACGGTCAACAATATTGGCATGGAGAAGCCCGTTCCCTGGATTGTGGGCGAGTGCGCTTCAAGGTGTCTGGCGGTTCTCACAGACCCCCTCAACAAGGTCTACGGCAAGGTCAACAAGTTCCTGCAGAAGGCACCGGCCTGGGAAGTCGAGAAGATCCCAACATACTGGGTCGACAAAATTCTCCTGCACGAGCCTGAGTTGGATGATGGGTATTTCGAGGAGATTGACTGGCTCCTGAACCTGTTTATCAAGGCACTCCGCACCGAGGCTGTAAGTTGCTACCTTTTAGTTCTCTACTCTAAGATCACAATTGCTAACACATCGACTATAGGATATGGAGGTTTACCGACGAGCCAATGTCTTCGAGCGCATTCTTTCCCTATACCAGTCTCCAACCCTGGGCCCAGCAGCTCGACGCAAGATCCTGCACATTGTGTACCGTGCCGCTCAGGTCGGTGGTAGTACTACCCTGATCACCCGTTCTGGTGTCATTAGCTGGATCCAGATCCAAGCTGCAGAGGCTGGTGCGAAGGAGGCTCCTCAACTTGCGGCACTTGCACGTGCTTTGTATGAAACTTGTGACCGGGAGCGGGTTGATGGCTGGAGTAATGGGACTCTTGGGCGGGTCGTTGATGAGATTCAGGCGCAAGTTTGAGGTAGCGGAATTTGTACAATAGTAGATTGGATCATTGGCGTTCTTGCCTTTCTGGTCATATGTGAGCTAAAATTAACTCTCATCAACATGCCATTCTATCTTTCTACAGTATACTACTCCCCTTTGTCGCAGTTTCTCTTTGCACCGAAAATCATCTATAGCAAACAGAGACCCCATCCTCGGGTAACTTTCCACTTCAGGTTTGTAATTTTGTCTGTACTTTTGGTAAAAACTAGTTTAAAGAGAGAAAGAAAATTTGAATTCCCACTAGCCACTAGGACTACAATAGTGAGGTCTATACTACCGTCTTTTTAAATAGTTTAGACTAATACTACATAGTACATGGAACAACTAAAGATTAGTGCGACAAGAAGGAAAATCTCTCCATTATTTAGGGCCTAGTTCACAGATCAGTGTCGCTGGGCACTAGTGCTCTCGAGCCTAAGCCATATATAGGAATATTGGAACCAGTTAACGTTAAGAAAACACATAGACGGACGCACTGTGGACCCTACGAGCCTCCAGTCTCAGTCAATTCCTACCTATCGCTTCTACGATGCTCCATGCGCTAATATTCCAAACCACTAAATAATCAAAGACCGGTTCAGAACGTCGGCAAATGCAATAAGGTTCAGGGATGCATCACCAATATCCCCAGGTATCCCCAGATATCCCCCACCCCCGCAGCCGACCGGAGTGGGACCCGAGGGGGAACGAGACCCGGAATGAGTCCCGGATGATATCAATAACCGAGGGCCAACGTACTCTTAAACAATGTCCCCTCCCTTGGCATATACGCACTTCGCCAAAGAGACAGCAGCTGTATATAGAGGTATAACTTGTGGCTTGCTACTATTTTCATTAGAAATTATCGGAGAAAGAATAGATTATCAAAATAATCCTGATATTTTCCTAGTTAACAGAGTCTGGGGTAGATCCAAAGGAAGAGTCTGGAGCAATAGAACTACTCCGATCTGGCCAAGTGGACTCCAACTAGATCCGTTGAGCTGATGAACAGAATTTTACCCCATTTAGATCATCTGGGAACTTTATTTTTTCCTCATTTTAATATAAAGAACTGTATAAAGAACTGCATGGTGAGGTGTTTTTATTTCAGTAGTATCCCTCTATACCACTTCCCCCACACCATAAGCACTTGTCTGGCACCTTCACTATGGTCAATGCCTCCCGGACCCCGTCCTTAGCTGATGAAAAGGGCGTGGCGGAATACGAAGAAAATGTGATGGACATCGCTGCCGGAAGAGGCCATCTAGCCACGGATGAATATGGTCAGGCCCTTGTGGAATTCGATAAGGCAGCTGAGTCGAGGTTGCGTCTGAAGATTGACCTGTTCATCATTCCCACGGTGTCATTGATGTATCTGTTTTGTTTCATCGACCGGGCAAACATAGGTGCGTATATTGCCTATCATTATTATCTGGCCCAACTAATCACTGTTGAAATAGGAAATGCTAAGCTAGCTGGCTTTGAGAAGGACCTGGGACTCGAAGGACTTGATTACAACATCGTGCTGTCGGTCTTCTTTGTCTCATATATCGTCTTTGAGATCCCGAGCAACCTCATGTGTAAATGGATCGGGCCTGGGTGGTGGCTTCCAAGCATTGAAATCGGGTTTGGCATTTGCTCCGTCGCGACAGCATTTGTCAATAATATTCATGAGGCGTGTGGTGTTCGCTTTCTTTTAGGCAAGTAGATACCCCCCCCCCCGGGACAAAAATTCAATGTTTTCATATGAATACTGTGCGAACACCGCTGACTCTTTACCAGTCTGTTCGAGGCAGGATTAATGCCTGGAATCGCATATTATCTTTCGCGATGGTATCGAAGGAGTGAACTTGCCTTCCGTCTGTCGCTATACATCGTTATGGCTCCATTAGCCGGTGCATTTGGTGGCCTTCTAGCTTCTGGTATTCTGAAGCTAGATAGCTTCGGCTCTCTCTCAAGCTGGCAAATGATCTTCGCAATTGAAGGCATTGTTACTATCTGTATCGGTATTATTTCATTCTTCACCCTAACCGATAGGCCGGAGACGGCGCTATGGCTCTCACAAGAAGAGAAGGATCTAGCCGTTACGCGTATTAAGTCTGAGCGCGTGGCGACAACCGAGCTTCTCGATAAATTCGATACGGCGAAAATGATGCGTGGCATCTTTAGTCCAACCACGATCACCACGGCATTCATCTATATGTTGAATAATATCACCGTTCAGGGCCTCGGAATGTTCGCACCCACTATCATCAAAACTATCTATCCTAATGCCGGGGTGATATCCCAGCAACTACATACGGTCCCTCCGTATATTGTCGGTGCATTCTTTACTTTATTATTCCCGTTCCTTAGCTGGCGCTTCGACCACCGACTGATCTTCTTTGTTTTATGTGCACCACTAATGATAATCGGTAAACATCCACCCTATTATAGTCTCCGATCAAATGCTGACTATAGCAGGCTATATCATGTTCCTTGCTTCCGAAGACCCTATGGTACGATACGGAGCGACTTTCCTGATCAGTAGTGGGTCGTTCGCGTTTGGGGCTTTTTGCGCGGCGCATGTCTCCGCCAACGTCGTGTCGGATACCGCGCGGTCGTCCGCAATTGGCGCAATGGTCATGTTTGGCAATATAGGCGGGCTTATCAGCACCTGGTCGTACCTCCCCTTCGATGGCCCTAACTATCATATCGGGAACGGTCTCAACTTGGCAACTTCCAGTACCACCCTCCTTCTGGGCGCTAGCCTGTGGGTCTATATGACCTGGGACAACAAGCGGCGTGATCGAGTGGATGTTGCTGCTGCCTTGGCAGGACTTTCGCAGATGCAGATTCAGGACCTCGATTGGCGCCATCCTGGCTTCCGTTGGCGACCTTAGGTTCAAGTTCTCTGGTTGGTTTTGTGTTTTTTGGCTTCGTCTTGGCGATTGAAGACTGCGAATATGCCCTTGTCTCAATCATGGAGCCGAGAGGCAGAGAGAAGTGTGACCCTGGGTCTACCACGCAGTAAATGATGATAGACTTTATCTTCAACTTTGTTTGAATAGATGGTGATTGTGGGTTAAAAAGCATAATTTCTCCAAGGATTTACTTGCAGCCGACGCAATGAGCGGACAGCTCCTCGCTATGGTATATATCGGCTCGTAGTTCCCCGGTCATATTCAAATATCCCACACCACCTTTTAAGCCTAAATGGTTGAAGACTTGGGCAGCCAGAGGCTTCCCGACGATTCAAAAAAGGAAAAAGAAAAAAAAGCATGCAAAAACATACAACAGTGAGGATTCGCTGGTGGTCACCCACCCAACTACTAACTCACCGGCGTGTGGCTTAAGTACGGCTGAGCGGACGGGAAGCCCTGTTTTCCACACCCTATGGTCGTATGTGTTAGTTCAAGTGCGGGATAGATTTATAGAATGCAATCCTAGAGCGATGGACGGCTGGATAAGTGTGCTATAGACAGGGTGAGGACCCTATGCGAGCACAGGCCTCTCCTCAGAGAGTTTAGTATTATCGAAATGGTCTCCCGAGGATCTTTGTTTATGACTTTTTGTTTAAGAGAACTGCGATATGAAAAGAGAGAAAAAGAAGTGCCTAACTGGTTCCTCTGAATGGTCAATGATTGTCCTGGATGATTCATTCTCCGAACCCATTCTCACATCGAACCCTCCTTATCCGCAAAGCGCCCGTCACTCATCTAATCCCGCAATGTGATAATCATCTGCACGGGCGTCTAGGGATAATGAATTCGACATATAGTATCTGAAAATGGACATAGACGCATATACGAATACACACAGGTCACGGTAGATTAAGGTGCAAACATCGTAATATATCACACGTGATGACTAGTAAGAGAGGGGAATACTAGCTTATACTTGAGTGGAAACGGTTATCCTAAACGAATTAGTATCAAGGTATAGGTGAGATTTTACTTAAATCTTCGGTAGGTCTGCATTTCCTTACTATATTTATAGCTATACGCTAGCTAAAGAACTAGGCTACCACTGCAGCCTAAAGGCTAGTCTAAAGGGCTTGAGATTTGCCGTAACTTTTAAGGTCAGTTTAGAAAAAGAAAAAGAGGCAGGCAGGCTCAAGCGGCTAACCCTATAGTAGCAGACTTTAAGTAGTTACACCATTTGGTGTATCGGGATTGATATAGGAATAGAAATATGTATAAGAGCCAAAAAGAACAAATTAAAGAAAGAGTCGAGATTAACAACCAAAGAGTAATAATAGGCAGTTCCTAGAAAAGACAGTACTGTAGAGCTAAAGAAAGGAGTGGAAGACGTAGCAAAGCAGCAAAGGAGAACAAGAAGGACATCAGGATGGGCGAGGGTAGAACGACCAGCGAAGGGAAGAAGAGACGAAATCATTCAGTATCCATCTCATCATACATCTCAGGGTCATGGTTGAAGGTTAGGTCAGACTCCCCTGATCCTTGTTGTGTCCGTCGAGATGTACGTTTGGAGGAGGCTGGTGACATTGAGGCCGCTTTCGTTATTAGGTAGACTAGCAAACCAAGGACTTGTTCGAAGCCGTTTCCAACAACGCCGACTGGCTTGAACGACCACTGGTAAACATTAGAATCAGGGTCAATACCACGATTTAGATCCACTTACTTGAGACTCATTATCTAGCTTCATGAACGTAAAGTTCATGTCATCGGTAGAGATGCCGTAGACAGTGGCATCTGCATTACCAACATCTTTACGCTGTTTATGGACTCATCCTTTTGACAGGTCAGCCTAAGATTGCGTTATGATAACGATATCGTGAGGTACGTACCCATGTATGCCAGCGCCTGCGGGATACCTTCAGTACCACTGCTCGGTCTCCTGGCCTCCATGATGACAACGTTCAAGTCGAGGCCTTCCTCCTCTCCTTGCAATGTCATGATCCACGGAGGTAAGGACAACAAACGAGTGAAGAGACTGGTTAAAGAATTCACTGCCTTGGATTATCGCCAATGCATCCTCGGCAGATTCGACTTTGTGGAGGGAGAGTTCTTGGTCAAGGGCGTAGTCATTACTGTCGTTTGAGTCTTGGGAAATCCCGCTGTTGGTTGACGTGGAAGCAAGTAGCGAAGACATGATGTGTAAAAGAAAAGGAGAAGGGGGGGGGGTGCTTTGTTGAAGATGGAAAGTGCAAGTATGGAAGTCGCGAAGTCAAGTGTCAGAAAATAGACCGTTTATATAGATTACCGAGTCTAGTACCATTGAACTATATGATTTTAGACTACCTATGCAAATTACTTACTGATTGTGTCCGACTAGATTGTCAAAACCGGACCATTATTGTAAGATCTCGCCACAGTCCTTAAACCTTGTACAATAAGGTTTCCGACTAGTCACGACTCATAGTTGGCAAACTACAATCAGGATAAGAAGATGAAGACAATGATCTCTATTTGCTGCCGAACGAATCAAAAACAAAACATACAACAGTGAGGATTCGCTGGTGGTCACCCACCCAACTACTAACTCACCGGCGTGTGGCTTGAGTACGGCTGAGCGGACGGGAAGCCCTATTTTCCACACCCTATGGTCGTATGTGATAGAATATGTGTGGAAGAGACTTAGACGGAATGCAAGCCATAGGGCGATAGGATATACGGGTGAGTGCCCTATAGACAGGGTGAGAACCCAGTGCGATCACAGGCCTAGCCTTAGAGAGTTTAGTATTATCGAAATGGTCTCCCGGCTAGGATCTTTGTTTATGACTTTTTGTCTAAGAGAACTGCAGATTTGCCGTAATTTTTAAGATTAGTCTAGAAAATGAAAAAGAAACTGTGGAAATAAATACGGCGTACTTTACCACTAGACCACCACAAAAATCAAGGTTTCTGTTTAGGGCCTAGGGAGGGCCAGTTTGACAGAAACTAAGAGCCATTGTTACGACGGGCATCAATCTGATTGATGCCCTGTTTGTCAGGCCTCACATGTTTGCTGGCTAGTATATTAGCTAGTTAGTCTCTTGCAGAAAGGGAATTAACCTCCTTCTTCCCTCTCTCTTTCTCTCTCTCTCTCTCTCTCTCTCTTTTCTTCTAGCCTTTGCTGCCAGATCAATAATGGTGAGGTTATTGAAATGAAAGGTATTCTCATATGTATGTGTGTTAATTTCGAAATACCCATGACGTTTGAGTCTGACATGTGACATAAGAGTGATGGAAAGATGATCTGTGGATTCATCCGGGCTTCGTTCCTGCCGGACTAGTTTTTGTGTCCTTGCATGTCCCTCGAATTACATCTTATAATTCATCACACTATGGCGACCACAGACCGGGAAATGCCTCACCCGTCATCTCCTGGCTCCGCATCTTCGAGTTCAAGCGCATTCTCGGAAACTACTAAACTAGAAACAATGCGACTCTCCGGTCAGAATTGTTGGGCTTGTAAATCAACACTGCCGGAGACCTGTCCTGTGGTTGCCCAAGAAGACACGCAGGTAGAATTTATCTTTTTTGTCTGTTCAAGAATGGGCTGACAATTCTCTATCTAGACAGACATATGGGAACAAGCCGGGCTGTTTACTCTCTCGTACAACTCTACTTCAAACGCGATTCCTCTTTGTCCAACCTGCCATACTCAATTTTATCGAGCCATTGATCCTGGATACGTCTTCTTCCCCGCTGATCTTGAGCTTTTTATTCATTTCGAAATGGAAGATCGTGAACGGCGCCGGATCGCCGAAGAAGCTGGTTACCCAATAAGGCGAAGGGTCCCAACAGCTATTGAATACCGAATACACCAGCAGGAGAATTGCATGGTTTCGTCAGATGCTATCGGTGGTCTATACAGACGCGTATTCTTAAAGGAGTTCCTACTCGGTGGCGAGATTCCAGAGATAGTGCGGATGTTTTCCACACCTAAAGAGTGGCATGGGGATCCGATGGCTTCGATTAGAAGGGCTATGGGCTATTGCGGCGCTTGGAAGCCCGCGGTCTTATCTTGTTGACCCCAAAATCCGGAATGACATTGAAAGTCTGGTGATGAATTTAAGAGCGCCGCCGATATACGTATTCGTGAGATCTACAAACTGGATGCTCAACTGGAGAACAAGCGGCATTTAGAAGAGCAAGTTAACCAAACTGGGGGTACTGTAGTCATGTTTCTTTTAGTCACTTGAATATATCAAAAGGCAAATGGGGGATGGTAAAAGCGTATCTTTACAATGCACGTACATAAAGCAAGTATGCAGGTATCCCCTCGTATTCGTTATTTTTAGGACCTTTTATAATGTACCTTGTCAGCCGTCTGGCCTCATCTGTCGTAAGAAGCTCTTTATCCAGAACCGCCTCATCTCTTGCTCCTGGATATGTTCTTCAAGGTGCCAATTGAAACTATCACATTCGAATGGCTGGAAACCACTCTTGCAGAACTACGTATCAACTCTCGTGAGTGTCTTCATCCTCTCGGGCTGAACAATCACTAGTAATGGTATGGGTACCGCAGCTAGAAGTACAAACGCCAACAATGAGTTCCCCCAACCATACCCGAGCTTGGAATACATATATGGAGCGGCGACAGGGAGAAAGGCCCCTGCGACGTAACGAAGAGGCAGGACGGCGGCGATAGCGGAGGCAGAGCGGTCGCCAAAGATATCTACCAGGTAGTTCATAATTGGGGTAGTGCTACTCGATAGCGAAAAGCCGCATAGAACAGTAGCGATGGTCGGGACGATCCAATGATAGCGATAATGGAGGGACCATCCGTATACCAGCAGGCCGACAGGGAAGGCGACCATGGCCGGGATTATGGGTATGAGACGGTTTTCAGGACGCGGCGTACAATCACCAGGGCTTGTGCGTGAAAGCCCGCGAATCAGGAAGTAATCAAGAGTGAAAGTGCACATAAGAGCGCCACTGAGCGTGCCGATGGCTTTCGAGAATTTAGATTATTGCTAGGTCTGGAAATGGGGGCTCCCTGAGATTGGTCATGACTTACTCAAAGCAATATAGATAAGGCCGGAGTGACTCTCAGAGAAGCCATAGACTTCCTGGAAGACAGTTGCAGTGGTAGCGGCAAGGAGCGAAACGTAGCCGAATAGTATTGACAGATACAAGCCCATAAGCACTGCAATGCGGGAACTGCTTAGGATGACGAAAGGGCGTATCGTGAGTAAGGCAAGACCTTTGAAAGTTGCCCAATTCCACCCCGTGAAGTACTTCAATGTTGAGCTGACCTTTTCTTGGTTGGAGCTGTCCTTCTGGAGCGCCTTCCGTCTTATTACTGGCACATATGACTCTTTCAACGCAGCAGCCATGATTAGCGACAGACAGGCGGTGACAATAGCCATGAGCCAGAAAGTCCAACGCCAGCTCAGATACTGTGTAATATAGCCTCCCAGGATGGGACCCACGGCACTGCCAAGGATAGGGATCATACTGGTGAGCGACATGGCGGTTCCCCGCTTCTTTACGGCAAATAGATCGCCCGTAATTGCTGGATTAAGACAAATTGAGGCGACAGATGCGCCGGTGAGAAACCTGAACACAATGACCATGGCGAGGCTGTTACTGAAGCTTGTGACCATGGTGAATATGAGGAACAGGAGATTGAAGAAGTGACAAATCGGCACACGCCCGAAACGTTCAGACAATGGGCCAATATAGAGCGGGGCGATGACCTCACCGAGATTCGGAACAGTTATGTAAAAGACCAAAAGAAAGCTGTCGTAATTGTTGAATTGCTGGGCAATGGCAGAGCTTGCTGGAGTGCAGATGACGAGAGACATGTTGCTGAAGAGGGCATCAGTGCATAAATCCTGCCATAGAAACACTGTAACTTACACCACTAGGGACATCAAGGATAAAGCGATCAAGATGAGCCACTTCCGCTTGGTGGACCAGTTCTGTGGCATCGAGGGGTTTATGTCCTCATCCACGTTCGCGGTGGCGATTGCATTCTTCGTCCCATGCTCTACATCCACTGCCAGAGCGTTAGGCGACATGGGTGTCGAAGGAACAGTAGAGCGTAACAAGTCTTTGCTGGATCCCTCCATGACAGTGTTAGTCCCTTTTGCTTCCTTTCTTTTTTCTTTTTTCTTTATCTTTTTAGAAAAAATGGAAAGAAAAGAGAGAGAAAAGAATGGGAAGAAACTAATACCTTTGGACCCTTTCAATTAGTCAAACTGATTGTAAATCTATTATAAGATCTATTATAAATTACTTTTACACTTGTAAATGTAATCTAATCTCGTATTTTTGTCCTAAGTGACGTGCTTTCTAACTATTGGTTATGTACAGATATAAAAAGAGGTCCATAGATATACGGGACTCCACAGCGGCCCGTCACCCGTTGGTCCTCCGTCCAAAGGTCAGAAATATCGATCACGATAGGGAAGTGTGACTAACTCAGCCCTAATCCGGGATAATTGACATTCTTACACTAGAGGCGATCTGTTATAGTTTCTGTTGAGATACGAAACTAATTTCTAGCGGAGCCAAGTTACAACAGAATGCGGTATTTGGTCCTAGTAGGTGTTTAGTATACACGCTAGCTACAACGCGATGTCACTGCCCGCTGCAGCCTCAAGGCTAGTCTAAAAGGTTTGAGATTCGCCATACTTTTCTAAGCCTAGATTAGAAAATGAAAAAGAAACAGAACCGCACAACCACCCGACAGCAACAACAAAGAGCAGCCCTGCCAATACCTGGGTGAGAATCTACATTTTCGCTGAACCCAGAATAATGGTGAGGCTCCGTGTAGTTAAAATAAAAGGTTTCTCTATGTATGTTTGCTAATATTGCGAAATATCACTACCGTCGGGTGTGGAGTGCTTAGACTGAAACAACAAGGTCTTTAGAAAAACAAATTAAACAAAAACAACTAAATGGAGAAATGTAAATTGAAAAGGATCTAGGCTATGGAACAAGTGAGATTGCTCATTTTCCAAGTTAGTTGTAAATAATGAATGGTGTCCTTTCAGAATTCATCCCAAGCTCGTTTCATTTAGCTGCGTTTCATTAAGCTGCGAGCTCTAGGCGCTTTTTTTTTCTGTCCTAGAATCCCTCTCACGAGTCATCATTATGTTGTTACCCAAAAACTCCGCAATTGCGGTTCAACCTTCCAGGGAGAAGGACATTCTCCTGTCTGGGAGCGCCTCAGGGATCTACCTTGAGGGTTATCCTAGCATCCAATACCGGGACTATGCTTCTGTCGGGGCAAACTCCCACAAAAACGAAGTGAACGAAGAGATCACTTTCAATATCTCCATTCCAGCTCTTGGGCGTGGAATTGCTGCAACCGTCAAGGTCTGCGCGGCGTGGGCTGTCCTACTTGTTTCGCACGGATGCACGGCCAAACTGCACATGTTAGCCTCCGAATCAGAGGAATTCATCGACACTCTCAACTTGGCCGTCGAGTGGAGCTCATGTGTTGGAGACCTTATTTTCCAGGTTCAGGCTAAGCTTGAGGATTCTTTCCAGGGTACATACTGGGACGACAAGAGGGAGCCTAGGAGGGAGCGAGAGTCCAAAGTGACTTTCTTCCTGTCCATTACCCCAGGCGAGCCTGACCGGGAAGAAATTCTCCTCAAGTTTCACGCAAGAAACGGCAAGGTCTATGTTGGGGCAGTTGGTCCTGGCACCTCCTCACGTAAGGCGTTGTTACGACACCTCTTGGACCAATATGAATATATTGTCCGCGAGATTTGTTCACCCGACAATATTGAAAAGCCTCTTGTTGACCTGAAAGCTGTCTCTATTCAGGACCTCACGCAGATTTGGGCTTGGAATGCACGGGTGCCACCCAGAGTCAATGTTTGCATCCACGAGATCTTCATGGAAAGAGCTCGGCGGCATCCTGACCTGTTGGCTATTTCAGCGCATGATGGCGAACTGACATATCGCGATTTGGATTATCTCTCAACCCGTCTAGCTAATGCTATCATTCAGCAAGGCATCCAGCCCCATAGCATCGTGATGGTTCTTATCGAGAAATCTATGTGGGTCCCTGTGGCGCAGATCGCCGTCATGAAATGTGGATGTGCCTCGACGGTGCTCGATGCATCCCTTGCATTTCAGCGACACCAGTCCATTGCTGGGCTGGCGCAGCCTTCAGCAATTCTGACCTCGCCAGGTTGCGCAGAACAGGCCAGGGGATTGGCCCTGGAATGTCCCCAATTCGTTCTGAGTTACGGCTCAAGTCGACACTGGCCCAACGCCGGGCTTGGTTCCCTTCCAACAGTCAACCCCTCAGCCTGGTTGTACATTGTCTTCACATCTGGGAGCACCGGTACCCCCAAAGGGGCTATCATCAGCCATGCAAACTATGCCAGTGCTGTTGCTAACCAGCAAAATGTCTTGGATATCAGGGAGTTTGATCGAGTCTTTGATTTTGCATCCTATGCCTTTGACGCCGCTTGGTGTAATGTGATCCATGCCTTGACGGTCGGAGGTTGCCTTTGTATTCCTTCCGATGACGAAAGAAAAGGCGACCTTGTTGGAGCGCTGCGCAAGTATCAAGTCAACTACGCCGTCCTCACCCCCTCAGTCGCTTGGTTTCGCGCTTCTGATCTACCTGCTAGTCTTCGGACATTTCACTTTGGAGGAGAACCACTCAAGGCTGCCCTTGTGAAGGAACTCTCTACCCGCTCAACGGTCATCAACGCATATGGACCTGCTGAGTGCTCGACCGTCAGCACGGCGGTTGTGGCGGACCCCAGCGACGACAATGACCCAACCATTGGAACTGGTCTCGGGACCTGTACATGGATTGTCAAGTCAGATGGAAGCGACCTCGTGCCCATTGGAGAGATTGGAGAGCTATGGCTCGAGGGCCCCATTATCGGTCAGGGGTATCTAGGTGACCCCGAGAAGACCACCGCGACATTTATCGAAAATCCACTGTGGCTGACCCGAGGCTGCCTCGATTCCTCTAGTATGAAGGACTCTTCCGGCCGCCAGGCAACACTTTATCGCACCGGAGATCTTGTTCGCTACAGACCAAATGGAAGTTTGGAGTTTGTAGGTCGGAAGGACTCTCAGGTCAAGATCCGGGGCCAGCGTGTTGAGCTTGGGGAGATTGAGCACAACCTCCAATACGCCTTGACAGCTGAAGCAAAGGCGGAAAACGTGCAGATCATTGCAGAGGTTATTAAGCCGGAAGGAAGCGAAATTCCCACGCTAGTATCCTTTCTTTTCATGGCGATCAGCCCAGGAGTGTCATCTGCAGATGCGAAGCCTATCCTCTTCCGAGCCTTGGAGGGTATTGAAGACCGACTTGCCGAGCTTGTACCGCCTTACATGATCCCATCAGCATTTTTGCCTGTTGAGAATGTGCCAATGACACCCACGGGCAAGGTGGACCGTCGAAGTCTGCGTCTAGAAGGCCCAAAAATGTACTGGCTGCAGCTTAATACCAATACACAGTCAGAGCAGGAAGAAAATGAGTCTGAATTGGAGGCAAATATTCGGACAGTCTGGAGTGAAATTTTGAATCTTCCCCTCTGTCAGATCCGTCTGGATTCCAAGTTCACACGTCTTGGTGGAGACTCTATCACTGCTATGCAGATTGTTTCCCGCTGCCGTTCGCAGAACATTTCCATAAGAGTCGCCGATATTCTGAAGCTGCAGACCGTCAGGCAGGTGGCTCAATCATGCAAGCCCGTCCAAGAGAAAGTGACATGGCACGGCACGGAAAAGGAAGGCATCGCTTGGACTTTGACGCCGATCCAACAGATCTTCTTTGACAATAACCCCCAGGGCATGAACCATTACACACTCAGCTATATTGTCAAGCTGATGAGGCCTACAAAAGACCAGGAGCTCCTTGCCGCACTTCTGGCTATCACAACTCGTCATAGCTCGCTTCGTGCCCGCTTCCGTAAGCGCACGGATGAATCGACCTGGGAGCAGTACGTTGCGCCGGCAGGGTCCAACTCTTTCCTCTTCAAATCGCACGATTTCGTGGATGGCCCAACCATGCAACTCGTAGTTGACGAGCGACAAGCGGGCATGGACCTTGTCAATGGCCCTACTTTTGCTGTCGATGTTTTCAATAGCTCAAATGAGCCACAGACACTTCTCATGAGCGCGCACCATGCCGTGATGGACCTTGTGTCTTGGCGGATCGTTTGGCATGAGCTAAGCCAATATTTATCGGGGGCCACGTCTCTACCGCCAATCGAACTCTCGTTCCAAAAGTGGTGTGAGATGCAGTGCGAGGAAGGCGAGAAACTCGATCCAGCAAAGGTCCTTCCTTTCACAATTACTCCCGCAAACTTTGAGTACTGGGGCGTGGCACCTGGAGAGTTGTTTTTCAGGGAGTCAACTTCACATGTGTCTATTATTGATGCGAAGACAACCGCGCTGCTTCTTGGCGCGAGCAACGACAGTTTCCGAAGCGAGATCCTGGATATTCTCATAGGAGCACTGGTTTTCTGCTTTTCCCAGGTGTTTCCTGATCGGAGCCCACCTCCTGTGTTCCTCGAAGGTCACGGTCGCGAGCCCGTGGCCGGCATGAATGACTTTGACTTATCTGAGGTCATCGGCTGGTTTACTTCAATCCATCCTATCGAGCTACGCACTGGGCCGGACAGCTCTGTCTTTGACTTTATAAAACTTGCTAAAGACATCCGCAGGCGAGTGCCCGGTAAAGGAAGGCCGTACTTTGCCTCTCGTTTCTACAGTGCAGCTGGAAGGAAGGCATTTGGGCCGCACAAGCATGTTGAGCTGATCTTCAACTACCGAGGCTCGTTTCAGCAACTCGAGGATGCCAAGTCGATATTCAAGCTCGAGGATAGGATTGATCGCAACATGGTCATTCCTGGCGATGGGTCCGAATATCAACGCCCGTCTCTGATCGACATGAATCTTGTCATCCAAGAGGGTCAGTTGCAGATCTGGACGAGATCCCACAGACATATGCGAGACCACGAACTGGTCACCCGCTGGGTGGACCTGTACGCAAATACTCTTGGCAGTGTTGCGCAAGAGCTTGCTGGTATGCCAGCCCGCTATACACTTGCTGATTTTCCGCTGCTCGACATCTCCTATGCTGGTCTGGATACGCTCGTGGCGGAGCAGCTAATGAGTGAGGGCATTAAAGAGACCGATGTGCGAGACATATATCCGTGTACACCGATGCAGGAGGGAATGCTCATCAGCTCAAGCATTGGAGCCGCCTCCTATAACAGCGCCTGCGTCTGGCAGGCAGTGTCAAAAAACTCGATTGTATCAGTGCCTCGTCTGAGAGCGGCGTGGGAAACCGTCTCGCGAATGCATCCGGTTTTCTCGACAATTCTGTCAACGCATCCCGAAACCGGTCGTTTTATTCAGGTTGTCTTGAACGATCCCAATGAGACCATCCTCTGTCAGGCTGCAAATACCGAAACTGCCGTGGAGCATCTGCAGCAGATGCAAGTTGTTAAATCCCTACCTTCGCAGCCAGAATGCTTCTTCACAATCTGCAGCGGCCAGGACGGCGATATTGCGTGTCGGCTTGACATTACGCACGCACTTATGGATGCATTATCGTTGCCAATCATAGTGCGAGATATTCAGAAGGCGTATTTCGGACAAGCATTGTCATTGACAGCGTCTTTGCGCGACTACATTGAGTATTTTCAAGGCACATCAGCCATATGTCGCCTTTCATACTGGAGAGAGTACCTCGCTGGTGTCAAGCCCTGTGTTCTGCCAAGTGATATGAAACCAAGTGGTTTGGAGTCTCGGCGCAGCGGTCTTTATGGCTGGCTCACCCTCCCCACTGCCCTCACGGCACCTATCGCTGGTATATGTCGCCAGAAGGGATTGACTCGCTCCGCTTTTCTTCATCTGGCCTGGTCCCTCGTACTTTCGCATTTGACAGGGATGAGGGAGGTCTGTTTCGGCTATATCTCTTCTGGCCGTGACACTCAGGTTGATGGGATTGAGAATATCGTCGGGCCCTTGATCAATATGCTGATCTCACGCATTGATACGGACCGGCCTATTTCCGATGTGGTGACAACCATCGACAGGTATCATGTTGAGCATCTGGAGAACCAGTATGTTTCGCTAGCAGAAGTTCAGCATGAGGTCTCCACAGATCGCCTTTTTAACACAAACATCACGGTTCGTGAAACTCGCGGGCGGTGTGGAGCGGTTGATGAAAGCATGCACCTCGTGGAGGTATCAGAGGAAGATCAGCATGAGGTAAGTTCTTCATATGCGTCCAAATATCAAATCGACTAAGTCTCCATTTCTGACTGTACATAAACCTACAGTATGACATGGTTCTGGCTGCCACCCTCAATAAGGGTGATACCGAAGTCAGCATCCAATATCGAACAGACTTTGTGAGCTTGGCCAATGCCCAGGTAATTCAAGCCACTTTACAGAGTGCCATCGAATATCTCGGTTCCGTTTGGCAACAGGATATCTCTGCCGCCGTCTGCGAAGATTCGCTTTACAATGCTTATTTCTATCACATGGTTGGCACTGATGAGACGTCCGCTCTCCAGCAGTGGAAAGCCCACTTCAGTGGCATTGACGCTAGCTGTCACTTCCCTTCCCCTCCCAAATCGCCTCATAGGCCAGGTCTGGGCGCCTCAGTTTCCAGTACGATTGAGAACGTGCAATGGCGAAATGATTGCAATATCGCCACCCAGATCCTCGCATCATGGGCCCTTTTGCAATCTTCTTACGGATACTCTGGCGACGCCGTGATTGGCGCCTCTTCATTAGGCACCGAGTACGGAGTAATTAGCAGCGGGATTCCTGTGCCGATGCCGATGCGGATCAAAGTTGATCTTAACCAGAGCGTCGTTTCGTACATTGACTCGGTACAGTCAATAATACAAAGCTGGTCTAAATTGCCGCAGCTCGCTATGCACCGCTTGCGCGGTCTCAGTGCGGAGTCAGGGCTTGCCTGTGGCTTTCAGACCGTGGTCAGAATGGAGAGTGCTGCAGCCCAAGCGGATGGTCAAATTCCAATAGCCACTTCCAGTGCAGTTCCCGCCCTCTCCGTGCGCTTCACTGTCGAAGATACAGGACTTGGATTAACTGCAGAGTATGACCAGGATGCCATAAGTACTGAGAGAGTAACTGCGCTCTTCTCACAGCTTGATGGGGTGTTACGCCAAATTACCTCACTCGTCAATTCCTCGTCACCTCTCACTGAAATCGATACCATCAGCAAGGAAGAACTTAGTGTCATCTCTGGTTGGAATAAGACATCCTACGAGAATGTTCAGGGTCTCGTCCACGAGCTGATTTCTCGGACAGTATTAGCAATGCCAGAGTCGCCTGCTATATCCTCCTGGGATGGAGACCTTACTTACCGCCAACTTGACCAGCTTTCCACGCGCCTGGCCCACCAATTGGTTCACATTGGAGTAGGGCCCGAAGTCATTGTACCCCTCTACTTTGAGAAGTCTATGTGGATGCCAGTTTCCGCGGTAGCTGTCATGAAAGCGGGTGGCGCTGGCGTGATGATAGACTGTACGCAGCCTATCGAGAGAGCCTCTGCTATTGTTCGCCAGGTGGATGCAAAAGTGGCACTTGTGTCAAAAGATAACGCCGAGAGAGCTACCCAATTTGAAGGGTTACAGCTCCTAGTTGTTGATAAGATTTTTGTGGATGCTTTGGACGATTTGGAGAAAGGGATCTCTCTCCCGCAAGCCGTTCACCCGTCAAACTTGGTTTACGTTTCCTTTACGTCTGGTAGTACAGGCAAGCCAAAAGGTGCCATGATCACACATTCTTGCTTTTCATCTGCGATCCAGCATCAACAACGAGCCCATGGCTTCCGGGCCGGTCAGAGGGTTTATGACTTTGCCTCGTACGCTTTCGACGTCAGCTGGTCTAACTTGCTGCACTCCCTTACATCGGGCAGCTGTTTGTGCATTCCATCAGAGTACGAGCGAAGCAATATGCTTTTAGACTCCATCAGAGATCACAAAGCCACTCTGATAAACGCGACTCCTTCCATTCTGCGCCACCTAGACCCGAAGCAGCTCCCAGACCTGGAGCAGATTTTGATGGGTGGAGAGGCTTGGTCCGAAGCTGATTTTGGTGACTGGATCGATCACAAAAGGCTGATGAACAGCTACGGCCCCGGTGAATCTACCGTAAAGGCTTGTATCAACCGCGCTGTCCGGGGCATGGTCCCCAATACCATCGGGTTTGGAATAGGTCTCAATACATGGATCGTGAGGAATGATAGCTCCGGAAGACTTGCACCCTTGGGTTCTGTCGGCGAGCTTTGGCTTGAGGGCCCACAACTGGCCCGTGGTTATATTGGAGACGACGCAAGGACCGCTGCTTCGTTTGTGACGAGACCCAAATGGACAGACAGCAGTGGACAGGCATGCCGGTTTTATCGTACTGGCGATCTGGTTCGTTACGAGCCCGGCGGGGCTTTGGTTTTTGTCGGGCGCAAGGACTCACAGGTCAAGATCCGCGGTCAACGGACCGAACTCGGTGAGGTCGAGTGCAACATCCAAAAAGTGCTCCTCGCGGATGACGTCCGAGCTCAAGTCATTTGCGACGCCTTTAAGCCCCACAAAAGCAACAATCCGATTCTCGTCGCCTTCTTGAGAATGGAGGAAACGGATCCCTGGCACAAGCTCGCTGGTCTGGACGAACGGCTCGCAAAACTGGTACCTGACTACATGGTCCCAACCGCCTACATCGCGCTGCAGGAGTTTCCAATGACGACAACAGGTAAGATCAACCGCAGATCTCTGCATGAGACGTACGCAAGAAATACGCTGGAGCAGCTTGTGGCACTAGATGCATTCTGCGTCTCTGGCCATCGCGCTCCGAGTACCGCATCCGAGAAGGTCCTCCGGGATCTTTGGGCCGAGGTTCTAAACATAGAGCCAGCGACAATATCGGCTGAGGATAGCTTTCTCCGGATCGGGGGCGATTCTCTGGGGGCTATGCGTCTTGTGAGCGCTGCGCGGAAACGCGGTCTTGTACTCAACTTCGCAGATATCTTCAAGCAGCGGAAGCTCAACCTCCTTGCCCAGATCATCGACAAGCAAAGACCGGTTTTGCACGTGCCAGGTCCCACTGTGAAGGCTTTCTCGCTGTTGGATGGGAAGATCTCCCCACAAGAAGCGAAGAATCAAGCTGCACAACTTTGCCATCTTGAGCCCGCGGACATTGAAGACGTTTTTCCTTGCACACCTTTACAGGCTGGGCTCCTGGCCGAAACTGCCAGACGCCCAAACGACAATGTCTTGACAGAGACGCGGCTGTTGAAAGAAAATGTCGATATTCGTCGCCTGCGAACCGCATGGCAGCAGGTTATCCGAGCCAACCCTATTCTCCGAACCCGAATAGTTGATATCCGTCAATACGGCCTGGTTCAGGTCGTTGTTCGCTATGAATCCTGCGGGATCCAGGAAGATGGTGTGACATCAGCGCTGGACTTCGGCCTTGGTACGCCTTTGGTCTTCTATCGGTTTTCAGGGTTGTGCTTCACATGGAGAATCCATCACTCTCTCTACGATGGATGGTCTATCCCCATCATTTTTGACTCCTTGACTAGCGCATACCAATCGGAAGCCATCAAGGTTTCCCCTCCCTTCCAAGGCTTCATTAAGTATATGAAAGACTGTACTCAAACGGAAGCGGCAACAGATTTCTGGAAAGACCAGTTCAGCGATTTCGACGCCGACAAGTTTCCCGTCCTTCCTTCGCCGACCTACAAGCCAAAATGTGATAAGCGCTTGCAGCTCGACATCAAGGACCTAGCTTCGCATGGCGATTACACACCATCAACAAAAATCAGACTTGCCTGGGCCATCCTACTGTCTACAATCTCGAACTCAGCAGATGCTTCATTTGGTGCCACTGTAGCCGGCAGACAGGCAAACGTCCCTGGCATTGAGGATATGACGGGACCGACGATTGCAACGGTCCCTTTGCGAGTGGCGATTGATCGTAAAAAGACCGTGAGAGAGCTGCTTCAGCAAGTGCAATTACAAGCCGCAGAGATGATGCCCTTTGAACAAGTCGGCATCCAGCAGATACGGCGCATCAGCCCAAATTGCAATCTTGGATGCCAGTTCCAATCGCTCATGGTTATTCAGCCCGAACCTAGGCATCAGGACACGAACAACACCCTATTCGAATCCTGTCCTGTGGAAACTGAAGCTGTCGATGTTGACCCTTTCAAGCTGTATGCCATCTGCCTGGAGGTTGTCCTGGAGCCGAACAACATCCGTTTCTGTGCCAATTACGACTCTAATGTCGTCCCTCCAACGCAGTTCGGTCGCCTGGCGGACAGATTTGAGAATATCCTGAGGCAGGTTTCCTTGCCCGAAGTCCAGGCCAAGCCAGTTTCTCTGCTCAATACGAGCAGCCTAGGAGATTTAGAGAAAATCTGGAGCTGGAACGATACCATTCTGGAGAGATCTGAGCAAACTGTCCACGAGATTTTCCAACAAGTCGCCTCAAAGCAGCCCGCAGCTCCCGCCGTGTGCTCATGGGACGGTGATTTTACTTACGGGCAGTTAGATGAAATTTCCACCCGAATTGCCCACGAACTCCTCCGGGCTGGTCTTCCTCAGAGTGGCCAGCGCATTGTCCCCCTGCTGTTCGATAAGTCGAAATGGACATCGGTCTGTAGCATCGCAGTCATGAAGGCCAACGGCACTTCGCTTGCCCTCGATGCCACTCTTCCCAAGGGCCGTCTGCAGATAATGGTTGACCTTGCTGGGCCGCAGATCATCCTCACGTCCGCTGCACAGGAATCTCGAGCACGAGAATTGGCTCCTTCGACAGCCCAGGTCATAGTCGTGGATGACATTCAGGCACACAATATCAGGCTCCCTGACAATCCGCATCTACCCGCCGTGGACCCGGATACTTGGCTCTACGTGGTCTTCACATCTGGTTCGACAGGTATCCCCAAGGGCGCAATCATCAGCCATTCAAACTTTGCCAGTGCGCTGAAGTACGGCCAAATGGCGCTCAAGTTTGGTCCTCACTCACGAACATACGACTTTGTGTCTTATGCTTTCGATGTCTCCTGGCTCAACGTGCTTTATACACTTTGCGCAGGCGGATGTCTCTGCGTACCGTCTCAATATGAGATACAAAATGAAGCCAAGGCAGCAATTGCTCGGAGACGCGCGAACACCGCATTCATCACCCCAACTGTTGGCAAATTGCTGCATGGAGCAGACCTCCAAGTAATCAACTATGGTGGTGAAAACTTACCCCGCGACGAAATCACGTATTGGAAAGATCGCGCCCAAATCATCCACTCATACGGTCCATCTGAATGCACACCGATTTCGATTTCTCACGTTCTCGATCCCATGCGCAGCCGTATAATTATCGGCAAGGGGCTTGGAGTACGAACATGGATTGTTGACCCAAATCACAGCAACTCGCTCGCGGCTGTTGGCGATATTGGCGAGCTTTGGCTCGAAGGGCCTCTTGTCGGTCAGGGATATGTTAATAACCCAGAGAAATCAAAGGCATCATTCCTGGACGATCCCGCATGGCTTATCCAAGGCGGCCCCGGCTGTTCCGGTCGCCATGGACGAACGTACCGTACAGGAGATCTGGTGCGCTACGAAGAAGATGGTAGCCTGGAATTCATTGGACGCAAGGATGCCCAGATCAAGATTCGCGGACAGCGGGTGGAGCTTGAGGAGATCGGGCACCATATTCTTACTGCTATCGGCGAGGCTACAGTATCCCAGGTAGTGGTGGATATCATCAAAATAGCCGACTCTACTGAATCTGTCTTGGTCGCCTTCGTCGAGCTCTCGCAAAGCAACATTGTGCCTGGAACTCAGGAAGCGCGAGCTTACTTGCAGCAACTTGCTAGCACTACCAGAGATCGCCTGTCAGCCACAATACCAAGCTACATGATCCCCAATGCCTATATGATCGTTGACAGCATTCCAAATACAACATCTGGAAAGATCGACCGCGGCAGCCTCCGCAGAGATGCATTTTCAATGCAAAAGGGGGATCTTTTCCAGATAGATATCATTGAGAGACGTGCACCAGAAACAGTAGAGGAGAGAAACCTCCATGCTCTTGTTGCGCAGATACTCTCTTGGGATGGGGACGCCTTTGGGATGAACAACAACTTCATTCAGCTTGGCGGTGACTCTATCAGTGCTATGAGACTTGCTTCGCTCGCCCGCGACAAAGGGATTCCTCTGGCCGTCGCAGATATCCTTACTAAAGAGCGGATCGGCGATCTTCTTGTGACAGAGCAACAGGCTGGTCTCAAGTATGAAAGCAGGTTGTCGCGCTTCGCCCTGCTGGATGTTCCAGACCCGACCGCTTTTTCCGAAGACGAAATTATGCCGCAAGTTCAGTCCGGCCATGGAAGGTTGGTTGATATACTACCGGCAACTGGCATGCAATCTACCTATCTCAGAGACAACCTTCATCAACCCCGGCGATCTTGGTTCTACAGTTACATTGACTTCAACCACATTCGGAATGAGGATCTCCTCATACAGAGCTGTGAGCAGCTCGTTGGGCACTGCGACATCTATAGGACAGCTTTTGTTTGTTCCAGCAATACCTTCTACCAGGTTGTCTTTGATTCCTGGAAGCCCACCATAGACATTGTTGATGGCGGTGAATGTATTGAAGATGCATTCGACAAACTTCTGCAAGAAGATGTGAAGATGCCGGCGTCCCTGGGAGCTCCCTTGGTGCAGTTCATCCTCATTCGCGGGCAAAGCGCAAAAGCGAAACTCGTATTCAGCATGTCGCATGCAGTCTACGACGCGATCAGCTTTGGCCAAACCCTCCAGACTTTGTCTGACATCTACAATGGCTTAACCCCGGAGTTGAATGACTTCCGACGTTACGTTAGCCACATCCAAACGTCTAAGGCCGACAGCTACTCCCACTGGCGCCAGACACTTTACAAATCCACTATGACCATGATCCCCTGCAATTCGATTGGTTCTACGCAAGATGGCGTCCCTACCGTGCTTGACCACTCCATTCCTATGCCTAAGCCGCCCTTTGGCATTACGCAGGCCTCTCTCTTCACTCTCGCCTGCGCCTCTGCCCTTGGCCGCCTTACCGGATCCACGGACGTTGTCTTCGGCCGCGTCGTCTCCGGACGTGCGGCCGTTCCCGGTTCTCTGCAGAAGGTCGTCGGCCCTTGCCTCAATCGTGTGCCGGTGCGCGTACAGTTCACCTCCGGCCAGACCAAAACTGAGCGGCTCGCAGTGCTTCAGAAGCAGCAGGCGGAAAGTATTGCTCATGAAACGATCGGCCTGTCGGACATTGTCCAACACTGCACTGACTGGCCCTCAGACACAAAGGATTTTGGCTGTTGGGTCCAATATCAAAATGTTGACGAAAAGCCCGTCCTTAACCTGCCTGGGGCTGTAAACGGACTGGGAAGCAAGCAGATGTGGGGAATCCCTGTCGCTGCCGACTTCCTTGAGATCTTTGCCATCCCAAGCCAGGATACCCTCACTGTGCGGGTTATCGGAGGTCCTGGATATACAAATAGTGTGAAGGCTGAATTGCTTGATGGGGTTTGCTCAGAATTGACAGATTCAATGTGACCGGTGATGATGTTTTAGTTCAAATCGTTTTATTTGCATGACTCTGGCTCTTATAGCCAAAACTATTGATGAAATGGAAACAATGTTTACATATGTTGTCCCTACATAGGTCACGGTAAATACTTAAATACGGTAAGTGGGGTACGGGTTATACGGGACGGGCCGATATAAGAACAGGAACCTTCAAGGTTGGAGCAGTATATACAAATCAGCGAATACTATCAAAGTCTTATTCGGATTTGGCAGTATAGAGCAGATAGCCTCTTAGGAAGTAGAAGGATCAAATCCGACTGTATTGATACTATACATATACGTACTATATGTTAAGAAAAAAGGAAAGAGACTGGAAATGCTCCACTGTGGGTTACGTGGCGTCACGAGACACGCTCCAGGGTTTTCCAGGGTTTTACTACCAATTCCCTTTTTTTTCCCGGCCCCTGAAAAGCTTGTCTCTGTTGACCGTAAGGCAAGTTGACAACCATGAACAACCATAATGAATCCAGTGCCTCCGAGAGATCACCCCTCCTCCAAGATAGCATTAATGTCGATGTAGACGTGTCGCTTCCTCTGGAAATACCACACACCTTACCACCCAGGCTCAAGCGTCGAGTCATCCTGCTTCTGTATAGCTTTGCGTTCTTTATGATGCTTGGAGACAATCTACAGCCAGCAGCACTTATTCAAATATTTGAAAATGTTATCTGTGATGACTACTACAGCATGCACGCCCTGCCTTCAGCATTGGATATCACCGCTTCTCCAACATCTCAGCTAGCTGATCGATGCAAGGCACAAGCTGTGCAGAAAGAAGTTGCGCTGGTGCGCGGCTTCCACCAACTAGTTCCCGTCTTCGCGGCCGTGCTGTGCACTGTGCCGTATGGCCTTCTGGCGGAGCGCGTTGGGCGGAAGCGTGTACTCTTCCTGAGCGGCGCTGGGGTTCTCGCCGCGCTTTCCTGGGTGCTGGCTGTCTGCTACTGGCGATTTGTTTCGATTCGTTGGGTCTGGCTCTCTGGCGCTTTTCTCTTTATCGGTGGCGGTGATGCGGTCACCTCCAGTGTCGTTCATATTATGGTTACTGATGCCACTGTCCCGGCCGAACGCGCGCAAATCTTCCTATTTCTCCACGCGGCGGATGTGATTTCAGGCTTCCTAGGGCCAGCTCTCAGCGCCGCATTGATGGAGAAAGGATATACCTGGACTGTCTTGCTACTTGCTGAGGGCGTACTGTGCTCTGGCATCATTCTGCTTACGCAATTCATTCCAGAAACGCTGAACTTAAAGGAGAAGTTGACCTTTGACACGATGTCCCCGCAAGTTGGACAGTCATGTCCACGGCGCTTGGAATTGGAATTGTCAAGCTCGACCAAAGCAGCAACCAATTTTTTCGCCCAAATTTCTGCCTTACTGGCCCCTCTACTTGGTGTGCTGACATCCAACCCACAAGCCCTGTTACTGCTCTGCATTTTCGCGCCTCAAACTGCTGCCCGGGACCTCTTCACTATGATCGGCCTGCAATACTCCAGTGCCAAATACTCTCTCCCCTACAGCCGAGGAAACGTGCTTCTATCCGTTTTTCAAGGCGCCCAGGGTCTGTGTGTCCTCGTGCTACTTCCCTTAATAACCCACTTCATCGCCGACCGACGGGGATGGACCGCCTGGGCTCGTGACCGCCTATATCTCCATTGCGTCCATGACGGCGACGGCATCCGGCCTAATTATCATAGCTGTTGCACCAGCTTTGGCGATTGAGGCCACAGGGCTGCTGCTCGTGGCGGTTGGCAGCTGTACAACAGGGTTTCTGATGAGTTTGTTAGGCGCAGCTGTGCAGCCGGGTGAGGTGAGCGCAGTGTATAGCGCGGCGCTGATGCTCAGCATTGTGGTACGGAGTCTTATGGGACCAGTGGCTAGTATGCTGTTTGTGAAGGGCCTGGAGCTGGGGTGGCATTGGATGGGCCTGCCATTCGCAGCAGCGGCCGTGCTGATGACAGGCATGGCTATAGCGAGCGGCTTCATCTGTTTAGAGAAGAAGGATCCTGTCGAAGTGCACTCTTGTTAAAGTGGCATTCTCCAAGGAAATTTGTCATTAATTGTCGAAAACATATAGATATGCGTAAATATATTAGGAGCTGCCTTTTACTTAAAATCTGGTACATATTCATAGGTTATAATAGATACTCATAAACTACAGACTATACAATTATACAATAGATATAATACAAATGCCCTATCTACTAGCAATAATTACTTACTCGGTTCAACGCACGACCCAATGCGTTGGTATATCTTATATAGGAAAGTAATGTCCTGAACATTTTGCCTCGTGTAGGACAATGTCCTCTAACCATAAAAACGTCGTCTTCCAGCTAGGATCTTCCAAGGTTCGTTTGCTATAGATGACTTCTTGGTTAGCAAACAAAAAGAACAGCTAAGGATGCAAAAAGAGGGGGGGGGGGAAGGATCCTACCTAGGTAGCTTGTTCCTCTGAATCCCTGCTCCTCATTGATGTCCTAATTTTCTATTTTTTCATTCGCGGAGCCTACCAAGGTATATACTCTCAGATCGAAACCTCCTTATCCGCAAAGCGCCTGTCACTGATCTAATCCCGCAATATCGAACAATGTTCACCTGCACGAGCTACTAGTGACAAACTTGGTATACAGTATCCGAAAATGGACAGGAACATATATACAAATACGAACACAGGTTGATTAAGGTCCGAACATCGTAATATATCACACGTGATAAACTAATACGAGGGACAGAATACTGGCTTGCATAAGAACGAAAACGGTTATTCTAACCGAGTCAGGATCAAGGCGTAGGTGAGGTTCCACTCTAGTAGGTCTGAATTTTCTTACTGTTAGCCAAAGAACTAGGTTAGGACGTCTTATTGACCAAAATGCGATTCGAGGGAATCCCCTAGAGGTCAAGTTAACCGAATTTGGGGCGCTGCAGTCATGCTTCATTTTCAGTAGTTGAATAGATTAGAAGGCCAATGGATGATAAAAGCGTGTACCTTCCCCCTCCGGCGTGCCAGAACTACCAATCGAGGCGCAGGTGCTATAAAGTAGGGTCTTGGCGCTTCACGAAGTGTATAATGCCCTTCAGGCTCAAAACATTGCTTGAATAGAAGCTGAAACTACCATTTTCTCTAATGATACGCTGAATTAGAAAGCTGAATCCTCAATACAAGGATTCTGATTTTGAGCTCTGAGTAATGCCTTCTAACAGAACCATCCAATGTTTCACCCATAAAACCCATCGGCTATTAACGCCCATTATGAGCAAGTAAGCTGCATATTGACCTGTGGTCTCTCATGCGTAGCCTTCTGTTTCGCTGACAGTTACCACTCGTCAGACATCGCGTGCCTACCTATCGGTTACAATGCCCGTAAACCCAGCTAACTAGTCGCTAGTCACTAGTCACTGGCCACCTTTGCTCACCTCTCAAGTATGCGTTCGAGTTTGCTTACCTTGCTTGTTTGGTTTTAGCCGACGGTGAAGCGTCTATAAATGGAGCCCAGCAAGATCGGTCGTTTTATTCATTTTCTGTTTTCTTTCTTTTTGTCTTATCTTACTGTTCGACGTCCAAGATCTCGCCACAGTCCTTAAACATTTCCTAGTCAACTTGGGTTCAAAAGGCCCGCAAATATGAAAGCCGTTATCTACACCGGCGAAAGCAAGATCGTAATCGAAGATCGTGCAAGACCAGTCATTTCGGAGCCCACCGACGCTATCGTCAGGGTGCTACATACCACGATATGCGGGACAGACCTGCAGCATTCTACAAGGCCACGTTCCATCATGTACACCAGGCCGCATCATCGGGCATGAAGGAGTCGGCATCATCGAGAGTCTCGGCGCCGCTGTTACGAACTTGACCGTCGGCCAAATGGTAATCATCTCCTGCATCACCAGCTGCGGGACCTGCCATTACTGCCGCAAGAAGATGCCCTCTCAATGCGAATCCGGCGGTTGGATTCTCGGAAATAAGATTGACGGTACCCAGGCCGAGTATGTCCGCATTCCTCATGCCCCGTTCTCGCTACATGCGCTGCCGGAGACCATCGATCAAAAAGTCGCGGTTACCCTGTCTGATACTGTCCCGACTTCTTATGAATGTGGGATTCTGAACGGTGGGATTCAGCCAGGGTCGACTGTGGCGATCATAGGCACTGGCCCGATTGGGTTGATGCTCCTCCAGATGGCGAGGAATCTGTTCGGTCCGTCAATCACGGCGGTGGTGGGGAGGGGTGCTCCCAGACTTGAGACAGCCAAGTCAATGGGGGCTGATCACACGTTCAGTATGCTCGATGGACAGGATGCCGTGGTGTCTTCAGCTCTAGCAGTAACCAAGCAGCGAGGGTTCGATGTGGTTATTGAAGCAGTTGGGACGCCAGAGTCTTTCGAGACGGCGCAGGCGCTCGTAGGCGCTGGGGGCACCATTGCCTCTCTGGGTGTCTTTGGCGAGTCGTGCGAGTTGCACTTGGAAAAGCTATGGAATCGCAATATCTGTATACTTCCCAAGTGCCCTCCCTGCGCTGGTCATTACTGACTATCTTTTCGCTAGGTTTGAGGACTCGGCTTATTGACGCTATTAGCACTCCAGATCTGCTTAAAATGGTGGAGGCTGGTGGCATCGATCCTAATTTTCTGGTCTCGCACAGTTCGTATCATAGTATTCTTTCCCCTTGTTGATGCTAATCATGGTGGCAGGTTTCGCATTCGACGATATTCACAACGCCTACGAAGCATTCGAGGCATCTTCGAAGCATGGCGCCCTGAAGGTCGTAGTAACCATGCCTGGGCTTAGTATGAATGGTTCTTCTTGATTTTCTTATTATATCTGTTATACTATTACTGTGTGTGACTATAAATATCTGTACCCCCGAACGTTTGCCAAGCAAAATCCCTCCTGTATAACATAAAAGCGTAGAGCGGGAATCGCACACCCATGGCGCCGTCCAACCAGAGCCCCATCAAATTTTGAAGCATTTTGAATATACAGTCGTGATGCTTCGGTCAAGTGGAAAAGTAAAATAGGGACTCAGCGGTGTTCCATATCTGAAGGTGCGGAGTCAATATAGCTCCTTGGGCGGCTTGTATAAAGTCACTACTGCATCGACTTTGACGCACATCATGTACTACCTTGCTAAGTACCCGGAGCAACTTGCGAAACTCCGCGCCGAGGTCGAGCCACTCCTAGTAGGGAGAACTACTCTAGATCCTAAGGATGCCGGCGAGGCCAAGCATCTGAATGGTATCATCCACGAAGTCCTCCGGTTACATCCTCCTATCCCGTCTGGTTTCCCGCGACTCACTCCCGAGGAGGGTATTGTGGTTGACGGTACCTATATCCCCGGAGGAACCACAGTGACACTACTATCGGATTTCTTAGTCTAGCTCTTAGCTTCAACAACAATCTCATCTCACATTGCACCATGCACTTCGACGTCCACCATGTAGACCTCTCTCCTCACAGGTTATGGGTCCCTGAAGCTCTATTCAACCTTCCTCGTTATCATCAGCGTTATCCTCCATCGGCCTCTCCATCGACGCCGCCATCAATATCTTCGCTATCGTCAACATCGACATTCACCGGCCAGGCCACACACACAATCATATGCAAGCAAAAAATCTCAACTTACCCGCAATTTCGACTGTGAGCTCTTCCACCATATCCAAATTGCGTTTCATGTCTGCCCATGCTTCATAGGCCATTTTCTTGCTGATCGAGCGCTTGTTGCGTTGGTGGCCCCGGTTTTGATCCCCTGGGGTCAAAAGGGCCTGCGCACGCTTCCACAAGCTGCATCGCTCAAATTGTCCATTCCAGATGCAGTTGGCGCAGGCACTAAGATACCCTTCGCCCTCCCGTAGTTGCACGCACTTTGCCTATTAACTCATCAGCCACCTTCATTCCCCCTGACTATTGGAGTACCTGAAAGGAGTAACATACCCAGGGGCCATATCCCTGCAGACAGCTATCGCACCGATGTTCATTGGTCTTCACCTCTCCCTGGCAAAATACCGCTGCAAATTCGACATTGACCAGGTGGTTGCCAAGTATCTCATCCTCGCGTCTGCCACCCGCGAAGTAACGCTCGCGAGCCATAAGCTCCCGGACCGGTTCCTGTTTCAACATCATGGGGAGCTGGCCCTTCAGTAATTTCCCCCCTGCGAGCAACTTTGGAAGCGGCCTGCCAGATAAACCGTGCCCACTCCCCAGAGGTCGATCTGAATCCCCCGCATGCGCCTCCGGGACGACGAATGGCTCCCCGATCTTAGCATAATCGGGCTCGCTGGGCCAACTATCGTTCATATCAGTTTCATGCCTCACTTTGATCCAATATGGGAGACTTACTAGGTCAGCAGGGCAGCGCCTAGCCCGCGAGATGTTGCTTGGCGGGCGATTTGCCATTTAGAGAGCTGCCGGGGGGGGGGGAGCGCTGAGGGGGGTCCGAGGGGTTGCTCTGTCAGGTGCTCAGTGGGGTGCATTGGGTTGGAGCAGGGGTTGGATTTTGAGGCTGTTACCCGGTCGAATCCCAGGTAGTATCCATCTTGGTGATATTTGAAGGGAGGCTGGAGATGTAAAAGGTACACGGTGGATGGAAAGGGAGAGAGGGGATAAGAGATATGAGTTGAAAGATGGAAGGTTGAAGATGGGAGGTTGACGAGTGTTGACTTGAGGGCCACGGTGATCTGCCTGATTGAACCAAACTTCTAATTACTCCCCTCTTAGACCTCTGAGACCTACAATCCACTTGTATATAGTTGTTTGGGCTGGGCTTTTGGTACCCAAATCCCACCTAGTTCGGATTTGAATCGAGAAAACAAAATACATTTCATCTGGCATATCTGAAACCCCAGTATAGTTACCTTTATCAGTTCCTCATCTGCCCCGTTGGACACTCTACCTATTAGCGGTGCCAAAGTTCACCACATCATGGACGATTATGCTGAGGACTAAAGTCAATCGGAATGCAAGGTGGTCTACGGGCTGGGGTATATATTTTAGATGAGTTATAAAGATAGTCGCAAAGTATTTTATTAATATTTATACCAATACACTCTAGCTTCCTATTTAGGCAATCGTATCGAAGGACCTAAGAATGTATGTTTGCATTGTTTGCTAAATTAGTCAGCAAGGAGCACGTGGCAAACCTTAGGACCCACAAAGCTTGATATTTTTCTTAAGGTTCTTCACGAATTTTCCCAACGCGTGCTGCTGAAACACACACCTTTTTTTCAATACTCGGCCTCCTCAATCAAGACATACGTACGATTGAACGTAAACTGACGAACTAAATTGCTTTCAAAATATATAATTGTGTAGATTCTCATAGTGTGTGGAGTGACCCACCGGCCTTCAACCGTTCGAGAATTACTACGTATAGAGTACGGAGTCGTTCTTTTGGCTTAGCGAAAATTAGGTTATTAAGCTTAACAAGACGGTGTTCTTACGAGGAGCGAGAACAAATCACAAGCAAATGACAGCCTTATCCACAACTGCTCTTTGCATTAGACTGGTGAACTTGCTGTAAAAGACGTACCAAAGAGGAAAGGCCATACGTATTCCCATGCAGATGGCGTGATCGCAGAGAATCCGGTGGGGCCAAATCGGGTGAATCTTATAGGAAGTTGTTGGGAGTTTGTGGGCGTCTTTCCAAAGTTATGTCCGATAAGGTAGGTAATGTCCGAGATTCGGGATCTGTCCGAGTCTCGGGATCCTTTTTTTTTTTTGCCGTGTCTTACCAGTAGACGTGTCCGAAATACCGAGAGACTCACCTTTTACCTCTGTCGTGCTCCTTGCTAACAGCCTCACTGTTCGACATCCACCGCCATTAAATGTCAATCAAGAAAGATGTCGAAAAGATGTTCCCCGGCGACGGGGAATTGACCGAAATGTGTGACCGGGACCAGGAGATATATAAAGCAGGTGTCCAGAAGTTCAATCGTCTGGGATGGAAGCGCCTCACGATCGTATTGATCGTGGAGGCGGTGGCACTGGGATCTCTTTCGATCCCGTCTACGTTTGCGACTCTCGGGATGGTGGCGGGTGTGATCTGCTGCGTTGGCCTCGGCCTCATCGCTGTCTACACTAGCTACGTTATCGGTCAGGTCAAAGTGAAGTTCCCGCATATTTCAGACTACCCTGAGGCAGGCAGACAGATGTTCGGGCGATGGGGATATGAAGTTCTCTTCATGATGCTGTGTTTGGAATTGCTGTTATCTGCCGGATCCCACTGTCTAACTGGGGCAATCGCATTCGCAAATATCACGGGGAGCAACATTTGTTCTGTGATTTTCGGTTTCATCTCGGCTATCATCCTGTTGCTATTCGCCGTGCCACCGACTTTCTCTGATATGGCTATTCTCGGTTACATCGACTTCGCCTCAATCATTATCGCCATCGGGATCACTATTATCGGAACTGGAGTGGAGGCTAGTAATTCTACTGGCCTCCAAGCTGTGAATTGGTCGGCTTGGCCAAAGGATAACCTTACCTTCTCCGAAGCATTCATCGCCCTTTCCAATATCATTTTCGCGTACAGTTTCGCTCTATGTCAATTCTCCTTCATGGATGAGATGCATACGCCGACTGATTTCCCTAAGTCCGTTTGGGCCCTTGGTCTGACTGAGATCTTCATCTACACTGTGACTGGCGGACTAGTGTATGCCTTTGTCGGCCAGGACGTTAAGAGCCCCGCCCTGTTGTCTGCTGGCAGCCTTCTCAGTCGGGTTGCGTTCGGTATCGCCCTACCGGTCATCTTCATCAGTGGCTCTATCAACACAGTCGTACTGGGTCGACTAGTGCACGGCCGCATGTTTAAAAACTCCAACATCCGGTTTATCAACACAAAGATGGGATGGATAACCTGGCTGGTTGTCGTCACAGTCCTGACGATCCTTGAATTTATCGTTGCGCAGGTCATTCCATTCTTCAATGACCTACTGTCCCTTATCTCGTCATTATTCATCTCCGGTTTCACATTCTATTTCCCGGCTATAATGTGGTTTATGTTCATCCGCGGCGACGAGACCTCAATGGGCAAGAAAATAGTTTTTGGCGTACTCAACGTCTGCATCCTGTTCGTTGGCCTAATTGTTCTAGGTGCTGGAACATACTCGAGCGTTGTTGATATTGTAAGTTTGATAAGACCTCTCCTATATTGTTCTGCTCGTGCGAATACTTACCCACGAATAGATCAAGTCATATGCCGATGGTACCGTCGGAGGACCCTTTTCATGCAGTGTCTAGGCATTGGTGCTTTGCATAGCGTGTGTATATATAGATAAGATAGACATTTTTCGATTGTAATATAGACGATCTATAGACAGTTAGGCTCACAGATTGCAAAATACACTGAGTCTATAAAGACAGATAAGATCAATAAAATACAGGGGAGATATTGTCTAATGCCAGGAGGAGTAGAACAGAAAGTATCACGCGAGCACATGAACGTGGTCTCAACATATACACGACTACAGATATACAATAGGAGACTTACGCGTACATGTTCTAAACTTTGTTCTTAGCAGTGCGAGGTCTCAACAAAATCAAATTAGCTGAGAGACAATAAATATATGACCGTGATAGATTTGATCTACAATGCAGCCTGGCGACATATAGTTTTTACGAGAACACTACGTTTCTCGCTGGAGGACGCTATATCTAGATCAAGACCTTGTACAATACTAGGATCTGAAGGTCGGTCCGACAAAGTACGACTCATAGTTGGCAAACGATAATCAGAATTAATGATAACAGATGATGATAATGGTCTTTATCTGCTGCCATGGAGCCTATCTAAATAGCTTCATGGGACAAAGGAAACAAAAGCACAAAGCCCGGAAATGTCTAGCAAAAAGCAAACGAAGATCTGTCATAAACTTTACGAAAGCATAGGCATGAAGGAATGTATCAGGGTACTTTGTGAACGAATCAAAAACCAAAAAACATACAACAGTGAGGATTCGCTGGTGGTCACCCACCCAACTACTAACTCACCGGCGTGTGGCTTGAGTACGGCTGAGCGGACGGGAAGCCCTATTTTCCACACCCTATGGTCGTATGTATGAGGTTACAGGTGGAAGACAATTATAAAGTATTCTAGAGTAACAAAGACAGTAGCCAGTGGTGGAAGTGAACTAGAAAGGTGTCTCATGCGGTGACCGCTGCTTAGCCAAGAATAGACACCTAAGGATGTGACTAACGGTGACGAGAGGTAGAAAATAAGTAACCCCAGCTCAAGGGCACTCGCCTACGTCAACCACACTGCCATCAACTAAGATGCGTTCTCTACTCTGTTAATAACTTCATTGAAGTCTTATCCGGGTATATTGGGCAATTTGTGCATGGTCATAACAGAATGACCAGGCGATTTTCAAGGATTGAAGTTGCAGTCTCATTATGCCTCTCACGACTGATATGGCGGAAGCGGCTCATCGTTCACTGGCGGCGGTGGTGAAGAAAAAGCAGCAGAGGCCTGAGAATCTTCTCTTGGCGGGGTTATAATCTTTCCCGTGTAATTTGGATCTCTTCTTTCAAACTCAAACTCCAATTTCTGAAGGTAAATTGACCGGATTGATGGCCGTAAGCGGACAAGTCTTGTACAATACGCTTCCCACAGCGCTGCTGAGCCCCGGAAATCGATTTGTACAGTGAGATACTCCGTTGTCTTTTTCATTCCACTTCGACCAGCAGAGGGCTGAAACCCTATTCCTCCCTATAATATAGTCAGCTTGTTGCGGATAATAATAAGAGAGAAACCTACATGTCGTTCCACGCTGACCGTATGACGGCTTTGATTCCCGTTGAATCTTGGGGCTACAACGACTTCCACTCGAACTTCAGCGCGTTCGGTCTGGAAGGTTTGGCTGTGTAGGAGTGTTATGGAGTTAATAAAGTCGAATGCATTCAACCCGTTCTCATCCGTGTGGAGGGTGTAGATTGGCATTTTCAAAACGACTTTTGCACGTTAAAAGAAGAATACAAATATATGTGAGAGGAATCCGCTATATTTCGAGGTGGCTTGTCTGCCTTGTGCGGAGAAGCACGCCAAGACGCCAGTGCCCCGCTACATGTTTACCCGTTCAGATGACAGCGTATAACATAGAATATTCCTTTCGAAGCTATTCAACTTCACATAGTTTTGTTAGCGACCATTCCTCCAGTCCAGCGAGGGTATGATCATCTCGTGCACAAGGATGTGCAAGCGCTTTGGTATACTGAATTTGTCCCACAAAGGTTGCATCGTAACGTTGCCGGAATTGATGTCCTATCCAATAACTTCACGTTAGAACCACCAAATAACAAGCTTTCTTATACTACACCTTTCTCTGTCTATATCCCCCCCCCCCCCCACACCCACCCCACCTCTGTGGCGTTCAAAGCCTTGCCATAGGTGGATTTGTTTCCAATCGTACTTCGTCTTTCTGGCCAGATAACTGACTAACCGGAAAGTGCCGCTTTTGTTTGAAGAAAAATTGTTCTATCACAGAGGCGACACAGGACTGATACAGAGGCTATATTTTTATTACGGTATTTACGAATGCACTTGTGGAGAATAAAGCGGTGAAACTAATTTCGACCATCCTATAGAAGCCATAAAATAAAAGAGTGGCATGGCAAAATTGTTTAAAAGGCATCTAGCAGCCGCAACCCCCAGACGCACCACCCCTGCCACAGGCGTAGGTTGTAGTCCCGCAGTCATTGTATGTACTGCATTTAATCCAGCTGCCCAGCCCGGCCTTGTACGCAGTCCAGCACCATTGACCATTGTCACCGCAAGTCTTCCAGCAGTAACCCTTCGAGCAGCCGTAAGGCGCAGCAGTGTAGCACGCGTCAGCAGCTCGCTCCTCCAGGCCACCAGCCTCAATCTCAGTTGAAGTTTTTTTTTCACCGGAGGGAGCATCGGCTTCCTCAAATGGAGCCAGAGAGGCTTCGTCGAGGAAACGCTCGCGGCCGTGGGGGTGCTCAACGCACTTGCGAAGATCGGAGAGGCTAACACCCTCAGGGAGCTTGTCGGCCTCCATCGACATGACGCCGCCGAGGTTGCTGCACTCGTCAGCGGCAGCGGCATCGGGGACGGCAACAGAGAAGGCTGTAGTGGCGCAAGTGGCCAGAAGGATGAGGCACTTGTTCAGTTGCATTGCGAAGATCTATGAGTGCAGTCAATATCTCGGTCGAGTCATCACAAGAGACAATTGTTCATACATGCAAGTCAATTGTAGACACTGAAGGTAGTCTTTGAGGAGAATGTCCTGGAAGAGGTGGTTGAGATGTAGAATGATCGTTTCAACGGTGACAGAAGCCCTCTTCTTATACACTTTCCCCTCCGCCGTATAGAGCCCTTAGCCAACCCGCGACTCGCAATTGTATGCGCGATTTTCTTCGCAAGGTCACATTGCAGATTCCATAAACTTGCATCTAGTACTCTGTATTCCGCTAGGATATTGACACCGTCCACCTAGGGTAGCTAATCCCGAACGAGTGAAAGGACCAATATGATCTCCGTAGGGGTCCTTTTTCCGATATCGGGAAAAGCTTTGCCAACGTCAGCAAAGTGGGCTCTAATGGGCTTGTTCCTGAGACCCTTCTCTAGGCGGAGAGATCCAATTGGCCATGTCTTGTGAGAATGGGCCCATTTCAGGTACGGGCCGAAAAAATCCTAGTCTTAACTACCTAGCAAGGTAGGTAGGCAGAAAGCTTACATAGGCAATGACTATTGCCCCGATGTAGTAAATTGGCACCCGATAATTCGTTTGGGAGGGTCCATGCTCTATATCATTTCTTATTGCCCTTAATATCTTGAGGTAGCGAGAAGGATATAAGAGTTACGGCATGTCTTTACAAATTGCACAAGCCAGTCATCTTTTCACTGATAATCTAGTTCTGAATGGACACAACCCTGCGGGTTCATTCGGATATTTGGGGGCCATGTAGTATTGCGAGGCTATCACGATGCGCTGCCACCTCAGATTAGAGTGGAGACCGGACAAAAAGACTGAAATCGACTGTGATTACCCGCGTAAGTACTCCCCTATTGTCAGCACTAAGATAGGGACTCTGTTTACCTACTGAAATTACTTCCTAGGCTCTGCTTTACTGAAACAAGTCAGTGGTTGGAATTCTTCATTTAGAAAATTGATACTTGGGGCTGCGAACTGCAACCTTGGGGGCATGAGACACCACGTCTCGTCGTCTCCTGGTTCCTTTCTCCCCATTGTCTGCCAGACTAGTATTCTTATATCTCAAAGACTTAACTAGCTTGTAACAAGCGGTTCCCTCGCGTTAGAAGGGTGGACACTCACTTTGCATCTGCGCACGGGGGTCTGGCTCCTTTGATACTCCACTAAGCGACATTTGGGAAAGATCAGCGCGGTAGACCCGAGAGGACCTTAATTAGGAAATTATGAACTTCACTAACTACTTTGAAGCAGTGCCCCCAGTTGGCCTTCACATATCTATCATGCTAGGCCGATTCATAGGATGGATTCCCCTCCCCTTGGAACCCTTCGCCGACTACTATATGCCTTCTAACCACCCTTTGGGGCGTCTCCGGCCCGAGAACAGACCTTGGCAGTAGATCATCACCTGTGTATACGGCCCCCACGTTTTGAATATCCATGAGGATGGGGCCGTAAAATGGAGATTCGAACGAAGGACATCAGGCGGAACCCGTCTCAGGGCGTGCGTGTCTATCTCTGTACTGGTGCCGGGGATATCACCAAATTTAGTATATGCGAATGAAGGCAATAGTGTTAGTGCCATCTATAGTGACCTCGTCCTCGGTATCAACCATACCGAAAATCATGCCACCAATGAACTTGTTACCTTTACGCTTTACAGAATTAAGTATTGGTGTCATGCCTAATTAACAGACCATTTACATTTAAATGGACCGAACCATAATAAATATAACTATGCGATTTCAGGTTAACAAAGGGAATTGGGGGTCACGTATGGAGTTATATATATAGTAGACTGTAGATATGCGTCCACGTTGAAGCAAATCCTAGCGCTATTAGTAGAGTGAAAATTTTACACATCAATCTTTAAGCAGGAAAGATCACGTTCTGGTATAGTCAGGGTGAGGACGTGAGAGTAGTTCGAAAAGTATAGGGGGAAAAGAGAAGCTGTGGAAGCCGACTGAAGAGAGGAGTTGAGTTGGGTATGAAGAAGGAAAGGGATCGAGGGCAGAGGTGAAGAGTGAAAGAGCGGGCAGTTCGGGTATATAGAGGTAACCATGATAGGGGAGCTAGCCCATTCCTGGATTAGCGTTACTTGTATGAGCCCTGTCGGCCTCAACCTCATCAAGTTAGAAAGAGCAAACAAGAAACGACAAGAAACGACAAGCAACATGCCATCGTCTTCATTGCCATTGGCTGATTCTTGTAGTTTATGGAGTCTTCGGAGGCTGGACCTCATCCTCTTCTTTCGATCCACTCTGGCAGAGTATACGCCCATGGTATCTGGGCAAGTCCTCCTTGACTTGACTGAGAGTCTTTTGCACTGTAAAGGAGATAGAATTTTGTAGGTACATGGCAGCGCGATTCCAATCCTTATATGAGATGCCACAGAAAGCGACAGATTCCAGAGGATAGGAGTAGAATGTGAGGTTTTGGGTGTTCTCATTCTTTTCAACCCAGTGGCAAAAGATGGTCATTGCTTGTTGGGTCACGGTGGCCGAACAGGCTTTGACAGTACTGTCGAATGATATGTGTGTAGCGTCCTCGCCGTTTGCGAGAACCGAAAGATGGCTTAGGCTGAGCAGCATATTTGCTGTATTGTGGCGGTTCTGTGTCTGCGCATCTAACCCTCCGCTATCGCCTTTGGCTTCGAGGGCAAAGCATGGAAAGGCGAGCTCAGGAGTTCTTGAGATTGGTCCCAGGTGGGATGAGGCCCGCCTTATCCCAGCGGTCCGTCTATGCAAACAGATTAGCGTCATTGAATGAACACCACAAGAAATGGCATACTTGGTCGTCTTCCATGGCAAGAACATGCGCACAGTCGGCCATTCCCCCGCGACAAACCCAGCATCTCTTGGAACCATCATATATGGCTTTTACCTGGGTCTTGGTTGTTTCCGAGAAGCGTCCGGATTGAGCAGCTGCGGATGGAGTAACAGCCGACTGTCCGCTTGTCGATGATGCTCTTGATTGTGGTAAAGGCGTACTTGGGCATGATAGAGCATGGCGGACCAAAGCTCCGGAGGCAGAAGTTGAGACAGGTGAGGTTGGAGAGGGCATCGGGCCTGGGGTTGACATTTCGTGAGTTATAGAGTATATACCCAATGAATGTAGCTGGGCTTCATGTCGCTGAGATAGGGTGGATTTTAAGGAAGCAAAGTGACTTACACCACTCAAGGATCTCCTCCCAGCGGGAGGTGATCTCAAAATTGCAGCCATCGTGGGCAGGAGCCATGATGGCAAACGTTAATGTAGAAGGTGCAAAGTGTCAACGGCGCGGGGAAGGTCCGTACTCACGAGAGTTGATAGGGGCTTAGTATCCGCCCGTGTACCACGGTACCGGAGGTGTCTAGTTCAGCAGTGAACTAAACTGACCACTTGTAGTTCTTGTGTGAACTACTCATGGAATACAGATACAGTGTGAAATCAGTATGAGAAACAATGTATGTATTCAGAGTGGACAAAGAGTGGACAAAGAGGAGAAAAAGAGAGAGAGAGAGAGAGACTATGGGGTTCCATCTATATAGTGATGCCTAAGGCATCCAACGTCCCCTTATAGAACCTATATTATATCCCCTAATATCAGATCCTCCAATTCCGGTATATATAGTAAAAACTCATCTTATTAGTGTATATTTAGGTTATCCTAATTAACCGAGTAAAGGCCTCGAATTAGTCTTTTCCTAGAGCTTTTATAAACCTATCTACTACGTTTTTCTTTAATACAAGGTGAACAGTGCCATGATGTCAAGGCCGATGTCCAGAAGGGTAAGAGTTAACAAGTGACATGTTGTTATATGGTGCTGACAACTTTCTAAAATCCGCTAAGAACCAGACGGCAGGGCACAGTTTGGTATAAGCGAATGGATTATGTAGCTAGATGCCACCAAGGAACCTAACAATATCAATTACCTCCTAGAAACATCCATCGCTTTAGAAGTAGTGACCTCAACTTCACATTTACACATTGTTCAACTAAGAGTAGTCTTTGCATTTCTTTGGTGTCGCATACAAAGCGGAATATGTACACCTTGATGCGTGGATATATATATATATATACTGACATAGCTTGATGGAAGTCGATAGTATGGATATTTTGATAATAAGATCAAACTATCCCACATAAGATGGGGTTCCTATTGCGCTATTTGTGCGAATCGACTATTTGAACGGATCCAAGCACCCTTTTTAATAAACACGAACGGGATGATAGCCATGGCCAAGGAAAAAAAGCCCAGCAGGGAACTTGCCCAGTCAATCCCCAATCTGGTATACATAGCATTTGTAGCCATAGGCAGAAAGACCGCAAAAATAGATCGCGATGTACTCGCCGCAGCCGCGGCCGAAGCTGAGAATTGCTTGTATGCATCAGTGAGATAGTTGATGAGTGCGATGAAAATCAACAAATAACCGAACCCGAAGAAAACTCCGGACATCATCGGCATCACTGGGTGGATGGAGAGTCTCGAAGACCATCCTAGCCAGAAGAGAGCTATTGGGATTGCCGGTGCACCAATGCAAGCAAGAGGTAGGCGGCGATATTCCTCTAATTTGGCCCAGGACCTTCCGGATTTCAATGCTTTGCTGTGGTGCGAGCTGTACAAGAAAAAGACGAGGAATGCCATGATTGACCCCGGAAGAACTGAGAAGTAATTAGTATTAGTATCGAAGTTTGGAAACGGGGGAGGGTTCTCACTTGGCAGGAAAGCCAGTCCAGAAATCCCAGCAGATAGACCGTATAAATCTGTAGATGTCAGTGAAGTTCGATGGTGTGCATGGTAGCAGAACCTACCTTGGAAGACGATAGGATAGGCTTGGAAATATAAATATAAAGTCGCGTAAACAAGCGCGAGGTACATCGAACAACAAAAGACAATCGATTCGTGGAAAAACATCGAGAATGGGCGACTGAGAACAACGCTCATTTTAGAAAAGAATGAATCTCCACCGGGAAGGTGACCCAGATTCTTCTGGTCTGAAATATCTTTTTTGTTGCCAGAATTCCCATTCTTCAATCGCAAAACTGGAACATATGTCTCAGGCATGGTAACCAGAAGCGGAAACCCAGGAGCCGCGATGAGAAGGCCTGCCCAGAAAGTCCATCTCCAAGTAATGGTTGAAATGAAGCCCGAGATAATCGGTCCTAGCAGAGGCGGGAATGTTGTTGCAAACATAAACCAAGACATTGCTAATCCACGCTGGTGGGGATCTTCATAGATGTCAGAGAATAGACCACCCAATATGGCATTTGGTGCTGAGCCTCCCAATCCGCAAAAGAACCGGAAAATAAGAAGCGCTGGAAAGTTCGGCGCTAATGCACATCCCATGGTGAATATGAGATATATGGAGTAGGTAATAGTAAGGACCGGCTTTCGCCCGAAATACTCGCTCAAGGGTCCAAAAAGGATAGGACCTACAACAGAGTTAGCTGGACTCTTTTAGTTATCAGACTTGAAGTTGTGTGACATACCTATGGCAAAACCGGCCATATAAAGTGAGGTCGGAAGCACCATTTCTATGCTATCGCCTGGGATGTGAAAATATTCGGAAAGCTCATCATGGGCTCCGGATGCAATAGAAGATCCCAATGAACTGTTGAATACAAAATATACTCCTGCAATAACAATATGAAGCTTTCGGCGCTGTTTGGTCCATATTAACGACCGCCCGAGCTAAGAGGTGCAACAATATCATACCAGTGAAAAATTAAATGGATGCGATAAATCCCGATCAGGATCAATCTCCCGAGCCTCACAGGACGTCTTTTTGCGTTCTAGTTTGGCCGTCATTTTTTTTTTGAACCCTTTCAGAAATCAGTCTAAATGACCAATTTCAGCGCCTGTGCAGTTTGAAACCCGATAGAAATTTAAAGAATTACGTCTTAAAAATTTGACTCATGTAGGTGGATCGGCATTTGACCCGAAATTGGTGGAGACATCCATTTTGAAATCTCTGTAAAGTATCGTGAAGCATTGAAGATCTACTGTACCTAGTCTTATTTTCCTGTTCGATTAAACTTCCGGGATCATGTATTTAAGTACTACGAGAAGCAAGACCGAAGCCGAATGGCGCCACGGCAATGTTCAGAGTTTTAGGTCGGCAACCCAACGGTTATCGGAGAGGAGTCCGAGATGGTCTAAACCATAAAAGATCCCGAGAGAGCACCAACACGAAATGACATTAATTTTCAATTCATATACTTTGTAGTGCTTCAAATTTGACAGAAGTCTCTCAGAATTAAATGGGCGATATGTAACCCTCAGGCGCGATGTTAGGGTGCGAATACCTACCTACCACCTGGGCACTGCGTTAGAGTTACTCTGCCCAAAGAAGCATAAACCATTGCAGCGTCTTTGGTATTCATAAGAGTAACTTGGTTATGATTCTCTCCCACCTGTAACCATGTACATACGACCATAGGGTGTGGAAAATAGGGCTTCCCGTCCGCTCAGCCGTACTCAAGCCACACGCCGGTGAGTTAGTAGTTGGGTGGGTGACCACCAGCGAATCCTCACTGTTGTATGTTTTTGTTGTGTTTGGTTCCCTCGTTAAGTTACTCCGTAGGACAGCGTGTATGTGGAAGGAGACTGACAGTGTGCTATACTGAAAATCTAAAAGGGCTGAAGGAAGGGCACTTGTAATCATTTTTGGACGGAAGTCCGCACTATAAAAGCTGATTTTGGCAGGTAGTAGTATAATAGTGTGCCTCAGTGTCGTGTTCTCATTTCTTTTAATATTTTAGTGTCCTTTTTTTGTTTTTCTTTTCTTTCAAGGACTGGGAGTGATAGCATACTGTTTGGCACCCTTCGGTAAGGTACCCAGGTGCCCAGATGACTATATTTGTGAACTAGCAGGATCGCTCAATTCGATTTAACATATAGATACAACCCTCTCAAAATTAGATTATGTCGTACTAGTCTATACGCCTTCTCTACACCCCGACACAAGCTTTCAAGAATAAGAAAATTCAACAGAGTAATGACAAATACTTTCTGTAATTCTACTTATTCCGGAAGGCGATTGTATACACGCTTCAGGCACAATACTGTCTGATGGACATGATCTAGACGTAGAAGAGCGCGAAAGCAGCACCGAGTAGAGCCATGACTCCCTTGGGAGCGCTCAACTGAGACGAAGCAGCACCAGTCGAGGATAGAGGGGAGGCAGAGGCACTGGTGGGTGAATTGTCGGAAGAGGTAGAAGAGGAGGAGGAGGCGGAGGAGGAGGTGGTGGTGGTGGAGCCTGTGATGAAAAAATGCGTATTAGTATAATAACCTTGTAACATTGTGCGGAGTTGCATCATGCCTGAGGAAGACAAAGGACTAGTCGACGACGTGGGCGTTGAAGATTCCGGGGATGTAAGGGTGGAGGTGACCGATGTAGAAGTGGTCGCACTGGATGTCGTGGAAGAAGAAGTGGAGGAGGAGGACGAAGAGGAAGAGGAGGAGGTTGAAGATGAAGAGGAGGAGGTTGAAGAAGAGGAGGTTGAGGAAGAGAAGGATGTGGAAGAGAAGGATGTGATACCATCATCCGAAGCGCCCTTCTCGACAGTAAAAATATCACTGACGGCAAGCTGGCCAGCAGAATCAATTATCTGGATCTGGTAGTCATCTCTATGCCATGACAGAACGGTATTAGTTTTGCTCTTTTCTGCTCACCCAACTGTATCTTCTACATACCCGTTGGAAATGCTAGGGTTAGGCTGGGTCGTATATTCGCCGTCAGAGGTCTTGACGTTATCCGCCAATTTGGTCTGGAAAGAGCCATCCTGACTTCGAAGGATGATGCTGATTACTGCAGGATCACCAGAATCGCTAGTGAATTTGATAGTTTTGGCAGTGGAAAAATCCCACTCCGTGTCTGACGACGGAGTGGTGACGGTGATTGCAAAAGCCGATGAGATGAGGCTTAGGGCGGTGATGGTGAACGAGTAACGCATTTTGATTGAATGGGATTATGGAATTACTAGAGAGTGTGATGGGGGGGGATGTCCCACTCTCAAGAAAAGACTATATATATTCGGTCGTTAGACTGGGCACTAAATTGTTGAAAGATCTATAACTATACAAAAATCAGTAACTTTCAGGTGAAGCTGAGCGCATTGAGGATACGAGATGGCCCAGGCCTTGATCTCTAACATGAGCTGAGCCTCCTGTGGAGAAGCTGGAAAAATCCAATGGTCATTCTGGTGTCCACGTAGAGTAACAACGAACACAGCTAGGAGCACCTCTGCATCGGCGACCTTGTTGTGTTGGGTCAAAAAGTGAGCATTGCGCCTTATCTTTCCAATCAAGTTTCCAATATTATGACCTGTGGTCCTCGCTAATAGCCTTGGAAGGAATTAAACTTCTAATGGCTATGTACAATCATGTCAGCGCTAATTTAGCGTTGATAAGTGGAGTAAATACGAAGCACACCGACAGGGCTGGGAAATCGAGGCTATCATAATTACCTGGGTACCTGGGTAGAAATCTATTGTTATATATTTCGTATTGTTACTTACAGCCGAGAACTAATACCGATCATGACCGGTAACATTCACCACATGAGCTCTGGATGCCGTCTTACTGTGTGTTGTGCTCCAACAGTGCAATAGTCAAAATTGACGGAATTCTGCAAGTATGGAGTTTCTAGTAACTCAACATATTCCCTATTTTCCAGTTTAATTCAGATGTAATAGAAAGCAATAAGAATAAATGTATTCATCTATAGTAAAACCACTGCAGAAACCATCGAAAAGAACGTCAACAAAATCGAAAGCGAATGCGGAGCACAGGAGACATGTCCAAATTAGAAGGAATGGCTGTCTAGAGAATTATATGGAAATGTAGGACGTGGTCAATGCAGCCGTGACTATCAATGTCCTCATCTCCCACAAACCGAATAAAGAAATGCCAGCGCCGGTGGAAGTATTCGGACTTGCTGACGAGGCTGTCGATGTTTGGGTGCGATCTTCACAAATATTAGTGCTTCCGTTCAGGCTTTCAGTAGGATAGTACACCCGAGGCCCTCCATCCGAGCTGAGGTCCACATTGATATTTCCGCTTGAATCAGTCACAAGTGTTTTGCAAGAAAGGAGCTCGGTCACATTTTGTGCGGATGAAAATCCTGTGCCGTCGGAGCCAAGCGTGATTTGGGTGGTGGCTTTAGTGGCTGGTTTGGCTCCCAGGTTGGACACCACGCTCACAACCTGGTTACCGGTAAATCCCTTGCGCATGGCCAAGATATTTGTTGAGTTGTAGATTGGCAATGAGAGGTACGATAGATAGTCGCTCCCTGACTCCGGGTCGACTGTGAACTTTTCTCCGTCGCCGCTCGCATATGATCGAATGCGATTCAACGACTGGACCAGCAAAGGTAGGGAGGTCGAGTTCATCGAGTATTTGGTAAGCCATAGGGCCTCCCGGTTGACAGGGTTGAACCCACCTGACAGGTGCTGTTCTTCCCCGTAGTAAACTGTACGGTTTTTATTAGTGTCTTTGGCTTTCGTTTCCATTTGTGAAGGCGCAACATACGGATGGGGATACCGTCAGCGAGCATGCTGATTGTGAGAATGTTGCGAGCCAGCTAATCAGGAGTGACAAAGTCAACACGTGCTGACAAAAACCTCGATGCACTCAACTTACCGATATGTCTGAAGTATACGAGCCAAAGCGAGGGACATCGTGATTCGATGTGAAAATTCCCAAGGGAGTACATCCTCGCAATGTGTCCTGATGTGGTCGATAGCCTGTAGGATCCTGTTCAGGTCTCCATTGGTCGTGTTGAAGGCCTCCGAGAGGATATAATACCTAGAAAGTGTCAACATGGCCTCTATTCATTTTAATGAGCTACTCACAACGGATAATTTAAAAGTCCGCTTAGACTGGGCTGCAGAGAACAGTAACCGGATGCGACTCTTGTGGCTCCTTCACCCATAGTGAAAACACCTGCTGACTTGCTGAAATCGGAGAAGAAGACGGGGGGAATGTTCAAGACACTGTCGATTCGCAACCCATCAACTACAAAAGATAATTGTCATTAAACCCGTTGGAGAGATAGGAAACGTATAAACATACTTGAGTAGTTCGAAACCAACTGAGTAACCCAGGTTCCCAGAATCTGCTGAACTTCCTGATCCTCGTTTCGCAGATCTGGAAGCGATATGGTATTGTCTCCCAACCAGCACTGATGAAGGCTTAGCAATGCTCTCATAACACGCTATGACAGACTTACATCCAGAACACAGGTATCATTTGTGGGGTCCTCAGAAAGTAGCTTGTAGTCGTGAAAATACTTCTGATCATTGAATGGATTGAACGTGCTGTAGTCGATAGTGGAGGCATTTCCAGCCCAGGCCATGTCACCAACGACAATGTCCAGCATCAGGTACTTTTTTTTTCCATGTCAGTTTCGTGAGTAGGCATGGTAGCCGGCGACTCACCATGTCACGCGCGTGCAGCGCTGCGGATAACGCTTGGAGGTCATCGGAAGTGCCAAAATGGGAGTTGATGGAATACAGGTCGTTTGGCCAATACCCATGGTATGCTATCATCGATCAATCGTTAGTTTTTTAATCCGTTGACAGTCAAGATGACCATACCTGAGAGATCCGCCGTGCGAGTTGACTCCTGGCTTTGCACTGGAGAGATCCAAACTGCATCGAACCCGAGTTCCTGAATATAATCCAGCTTATTTATTATACCCTGTAAACTCCCACCACAATACTCTCCCAGACCTGCATCACAGGAAGCGGTGGTTGAGTTATCGGATCGAGCGAAACGATCGGTGACCACTTGGTAGACGGACCGACCGAGCCATTGGTCTCGGGAAGCCGCATGTACAGTCCCGGCAGCAAGCAAAGCCTTCCACCACCACATTGTGGCGTTTGTATGACAGGTAGGAGGAGTGATGGAGTCTGAGACAATGAAAAGACTACTTAAATTAATTGACAATGTCAACTATGTCAACAATGTCATATATGCTGGGTGAAAATGATTTACAATGTACAACCTGTGTATTGTACCGTATGTGTAATACATACTATTAATGCCCAGGTGCTGCGATAGATATATATATCTGTCGGCCCGATCGGCAGCTCTCGAACCACTCCATTCCAATCGAGGGCACTGATGGCTTCCAATGGCAGACGGGCGGGCCCTGATTGGTTCGGGACTGACTCGTCTTGGGGCTCCGCTAGTCTACTTGACAATCCTTATCCATGTTACTTTGGTGTGCTGACCTCGTGGAAGAGCCGCATGGTTGACTGCAATCTCGCCCGATTTCTTAGACAGTTACAGTAATCATTGGGCGATGATTGATTTTTCCATCAGATTCCTTGATCGGGTCCACATGGGGATCCAAAGATGACAGGCTTTGTTCCGGGTGGTCAGATAAGGAGCAGGGACGGAGTGGCCGCGAACAAAAACAAAAAGCAATACGAGACAGGAACGGCACGCAACGAGCACCCTCATCATCATATCCACCTCTCACCCTTTCTCATAGGTCTGTCCTGTATCAGGTGTGACGTGTTCTATCTTCTATGAGGCGGGATACCCGATCTTGCATAATTTACACTTTATGATCGATGATTTCCTCCCGGTATGACTCTTTTTGGAACACTTGTCCGGAGTATAGCCGAAGGTCCTATACCGATGCATGTCAGATTGTACGAGACATCATCTGGCTTGGTCTAGATGCCCGAACAATGCGCGCACCGAATATGGTGTATGGAAGCTTGAGATCCATCGTCCAAAATTAGACCCGTTCAACCGCTTAGCTGAGTATGGAGATACTTTGCTGTGGATCGAGGCTGTACAGCAAGGCTGGCTCGGGTCTCCAACGGTTCGCCTGATCCATGCGTCTATGCTGATTTGCAAAACAGTGATTGGTATTCTCGCGCCCAGAATCAATTATTGCATTGGCCTGGACAGCTCCGGAGTATTCATTATCTTTTATATGCTTGCTTCTTTTGCGCATCTGTGCTCTGTGGATCGTTCAGTGTCTCTGTTTCTATGAGTTATCCCTTTCTTACTGGTATGCACTCTGTGGTTTTCTTCTTGCAGTTGAGGCTCGAACAGCGTGTCCTGTGAATGTCACCATAGTGGCATCTACTGTGCGGAATGAAGTTGCTCACTTCCATCACTAACTACCTTGCCATTGTTGCAATATCTATACGCATTGCACAATCCTTGCCATATCTTCCAGAGGAAGCAAACTGGAATCTCAATCAAAATCAGACAGCGACACACCCCCTCGACTACTCGGGTCAGTGGGATGGCCACATATACAACCCCTCGCCAGAGAACTGGCGATTCCCCTTTTACACGATATTCCTCGACAGATTTGTAAATGGTGATCCGAGTAACGATAATGCAAATGGGACACAATGGGAACATATCTTGACCTCCAACGAGTTCCGCCATGGCGGCGACGTCCTTGGGTTGGTTGATACGTTTGATTACCTTCAGGGGATGGGAATCAAGGTGCGTCTCTTGCTTCAGGAAGACTGGATGTGAAGAATATATTGACCATATCCAGGGCGTTTATCTCGCTGGAACACCGTACATCAACTTCCCCTGGGCTGCGGATGGATACTCCCCGCTTGACCTGACTCTGCTGGACCATCACTTTGGTACGATCGAGGACTGGCGCACAATGATATCTGAGGCGCATCGACGGGGGCTTTATGTTCTTTTTGATAATACCATTTCAACGTATGTGAGATCCACGTGCGCAACCTCCGATGTCGTCTGCTGATTGTGGATAGAATGGGCGATCTTATCGGTTTTCAGGGTTTCTTGAACGAGTCCGCGCCGATCAATCCCAATGAGTACGACTATTTATGGAAGTACGGCCGTCGATACTGGGACTTTCAGCCTGGAAATGAAGTTGAGAGTGAATGTCTTTGGGAGTATCCTCGGTTCTGGGATGACGATGGGACCGGTTTGACCACCACAT